CCCCTCTTTCCCCGCCGAGGCGGGGCAGGAGAAGCGACTCCCCGCAGCCGGTCGCCCTCCCCCCTCCGCCTCGCCCTCGGTGCCGCTTATCGCGGGAAGCGGCCGGACGGCGGTCACCCGAGCGGCCCGCGCCCGCCCCTCGCCTTTCGTCCCCGCGGCGCGGCGGGACAGGTGGCCAACGCCCTCCGGGAGCCCGGCACCTGGTGCTGAGTCAGTCCCGCGCCTCGCGCCGCTCCCCCTTTCCCCCTCTCATCGCCCCGCATCCCGGCCGCGAGGCCGGCTCGCGAACTTAGGCGGCCCCGCCGGCTCCGCGCTGGGGGAGCCGGGGCGGGGCGGGCGGCGGCCGGGCCGCGGAGGTGCCGAGCCCGTGCTAGCGCCCTCGCGGCGCTGCCGTGCCGGGGCTGGGCGGGCGGAGGGGGGGAGAGGTGAGAGCCGCGGCCCCGTCCCGCCGAGCCTCTGCGGCCAGCGGCTGCGCTCCCGGCTCGATGGGCGGCGGGGCGGGCTGCCGTGCCGCTGGAACTTGGGAAGAAAGCGGTGGGGAACGGGAGCCTGCCTGAGGAATCTCTTCCTTTCGTAGCTTTTTGTCCTCTCTTTCCGGGAGGGAACCGCTTTCCTGTAGTAGTAAAGGAATGCGATAGTGAATGAAGCTACGCCGACGGCATCCTCGCTGGTCTGATCCCAGCCCTTTCTGCCTAACGTTGCTTTCTTTGCCTCCAGGTCTGCTAAAAAATGACAGAGTATAAGCTTGTTGTCGTTGGAGCTGGTGGTGTGGGCAAGAGCGCCTTGACAATACAGCTCATTCAGAACCACTTTGTGGATGAGTATGACCCTACCATAGAGGTAAACACCTCCGTCTTAGCTTCGTGTGCTGGGAGGTTAGCAGTGCTGGTGGGAGTTGTTTGCTGTCGGACGTTACTGCAAAAACACTGTGGAACAAGACTGTATTAAATCAGAAGTAAAGAGTAGCATCACGCTGGCATTAGCAAACTGCTGTACTTCTTGAGCTGGCTGTAGAACAACAGCTACGGTGAAAAATGAGCAGTTCTGTGAAGTGGAAATGTGGCGCGTGTTAGTTGTGTGTTGTGTTGGACGCTTTGAACGTGAGTTTGTAGGATCTCGGTAAGGAAGTACTTGCCAAACTCTATTGGAGAAAGGGTGCCAAAACTCTCTGTGGCTCCACATCAGCCTCTTAATATCAAATGGAATGTCACACATAAGGAGAGACTTCTGAAATGCGTGTGTCAGGCTTTCTCAGCTCTTATCACCAGGATCTGTGTCACATGGTGAGGAATGTGTTCTGGGATGTTATGCTGAATGAGGCAAAAATTTGGAACTCAATTTTTTTTTTTAACAAGCAGTTGTATGCTTCTATGTGTCTAGAAAAAGATAGCTGCTGTAGTGAGTTCTTTGCAGTACATGGCACAGTACTTCAGAATATGAAAATCTGTTTAAACTTACATAGCTCTGTTATTTTAGAGACTTTTAATGAGTCTGGCCTTGTAAATATAAGAAAACATTAGTGTTGTCTGAAATCTTCTGTGGGTAGTTTGATTTAATAACCTCAGACTGTATGAAAGGAGAAATGACATTATAACTTACCCAAGATTTTTATGTTCCCAGCACTGAAACTCTGTAGTTTATGACTTCATTTATATGTTTACACAGTGAGGTGCTTCCAAGCTCACTTGAAGGGATCGCAAGGGTATAAATCTGGGCTTAATGTGGTGACTCAGAAATGGTTCTGGAGTCATTCTCAGGTAGGCAAGACGTGAATGAAAGGAGCCAGTGCCCCAAGATGGTAGGAGGCTGTCTTACTTCAGTGAAGTACAGGCCTGAGTTGGTGTTCCCCAAAGAGGGAGGCATCAGACTGTGTTTGGGATTACCTTTAATGTGCCTGTGTGCTTTGTCTGATGTGTGGCCAGGAAGAATAACCTATGCTTGCTGAAGGTTTTGTGAACAGATAGGAAGAACCTATCTGTTCAGGTGCTTACCTTGCACTAGAGAGGTGGCTCTTTTGGTTATTAAGACTTGAAATCTGGAAACAAAACGTCAACCCAGAACATTCTTAAAAAACAAGAAACACACAACTCATTTAGAGGAACAGGCAAAATGGGATTTTATTTCTTGTCGCAAAAGGAACTTAGAGTTGTTGGTAATGCTTGTACTACTTGCTCATCATCTAGGTTTCTTGGATTAGAGGTACATTTAGATATTGCAGAAAGCACTGTTGAGGTTCTGTGTTAGAAGTTGTCTGAAAAGGACAGACCTGTGTAAACAGTTTAGGAACGCGAAAACTTAAATGTCAGTTCTAAATCACTTGAAGGATTTTTGCTAATCAGCAAGTTGAGTATTTTGAGGAATGCTAAAGGCATTTTAATGATAATAAAACATGCAGTTCTTGTAGGAAGGACATTGAATTCTAGAACAGTGGCTTTTATTCATTAATGGACAGGGTACATTGTCTGTAAGGCTGTGGTGTGGTCTGCAGTCGACCAGTATGATTTTCTGGGAGAAACTTATAGTGTAATGGATTTTACCTGCATCAACAGCTTGTTGAATGTAACCGTGTTAGACTGCTTGTACTCTGCCAAGAACTTGTAGGGAGTTACAGTTGCTGTTTTTGCCTTGTAAATCCTGAGACCTTATGGATGGATATTATGTCTTTCTGCCCACCTGGTAGATTACCTTGTGTGCTCATGGTGTTATAGAATAATCATGGCTAAGTTTATAGGGAGTACATACATACTTCAGTTACTGTGGGGCGCTCTCTCACTTGGAGAGGCAGATGGGTTCCAGCTAGTGGGCTTGTAGTTGGTTTAAATGCTTCACTTCTTGCTAGGGCACAATCCCTTCAGAAGGGTTTGGTTGTGCTTCCTGTATATAGGTGTAGTTCTGGTATGGGGCTGCCCAAAGAACAGTAGCTGTAGACACTCACTTTCCATGCAATAGGAGGAAATAAGGCTACAGTTGTGACCAGTAAATAAGTGGTTCATTAGTGTCACAACTATTATTTTTCACTGACTACTGTTTCTTTTTCTCTTTTTGTTGTTATTGTTGCCAAAACATGCATTTTCCTCAAAAATAATGAGGTATTTTGAAGTAGGCAGAGAAAAGAGCTGAGTGTTTGTTGTGTATCGTGGATTCCATACCTACCTGGTTGTTCAGTTGTTTTAAATCTTTCATGATAACCATTGTGAAACTCATCTCTTCTTTCCTGCACTGTTTCAGCAATGTAAGAATTTAAGAAAAAAAACAACTGATTGCTTAACTACGGATGCATTCTCTAACATTCATGTTTGTATTCTTTTTAGTGGAATTAGTGAATGAACAAATAACTTACCTGCTTGGGAAGCTTCAAGTCTCATGATCCAGTCAAAAAAATATGTATTTATTTTTTAATTTGTATCTGCATTTATTACAGTTGATGACAGGGAAAGAATTAAAATGACTCTGTGCTTGAGTAACTCCTGTTATTCAGAAATAAATTTGTTGTGTTTATCACATTTCATATCTATCTTGAAATGGATATCAAAACACATTTATAGCCAAGCAATTTTAAGTGGTTTTTTTTCTTAAGAGTGTGTAGCACTCACCCTTCAAGATCTGGCTTAATGCACAGAGCAGTTGGACTGGTGCCCTCTACTGGTCGAGATTCGTTAAATTTTTATTTGCGATATCTTCTGTGATTACTTTAAAATCAATTCTTCTTATAGTGTCAGCATACATGTGCCTAGCATTTAGGTCATGTTTTCAGTGACTTGGAGAAGGAGCAGCCCTCCTTGCTGGCTGTCAAAGGATTTTTCAATTGGATTAGCAAAATCCCTTGAGTGATTTAGGTATACTGATATTTAAGTCTGTGTGTTTTTCAATGACCTGTGCACCTGTGGGAATTCCACCAACATGTAGTAGTAGCTTCATAGTAACTATGATATTTTAATATTAATCATTGATGGAGTGGATTCTTAAAAAAAGTAGTTACTCTCTAGACAGGGTTTCTTTAGTCAGTGGGTTTTTTTTTTTTTCAGATAAACTCAATTTGTGGCAGGAAGCTGAGATGCCACCTCTTTTGTTATCGGTAACTGTTTTGAACAAATGGAATTATTATTGCTCCTTTAGCATAATTTGTGTGATTTACATTTTTTATGGCTTGAAATGTCAATAACAGCAGGCCGTGTGATTAATTAACTTAAAACTCTTTGATGTAGATAGTGTCTGCATACTTAGAGAAGTGACAAGTTCATATTTGGACTCATGTACAGTGTTGCCTTTAATTTCTAGTTTGCATTTTGTTTTACACAGTAGTCCTATATTAGGTGCTTTTCCATTGCCATATCTTCCAGTGTGCAGTGAAGCTGCTGGGTTTCAAAAACATCATGAGAAGGGTTTTTTTGTTGTTGTTGTTAAAAGGGAGTCTGCCCATGTTGGGTTCTGCTATTCCATTTTGAAGTAGAGGGCCACTAAGATGATCAGAGGACTGGAGCACCTCTCCTGTGAGAAAGGGTTGAGGGAACTGGGCTTGTTTAGCTGGGAGAAGAGAAGGCTCTGGGGAGACCTCATTGTGGCCTTCCAGTACACGAAGAGAGCATATAAACAGGAGGGGGAACGGCTATTTACAAGGGTGGATAGTGATAGGACAAGGGGGAGTGTTTTTAAACTGAGACAGGAGAGGTTTACATTAGATATTAGGAGGGAGCTTTTCACCCAGAGGGTGGTGACGCACTGGAACAGGTTGCCCAAGGAGGTTGTGGATGCCCCATCCCTGGAGGCATTCAAGGCCAGGCTGGATGTGGCTCTGGGCAGCCTGGTCTGGTGGTTGGTGACTCTGCACATAGCAGGGGGTTGAAACTATATGATCGCTGTGGTCCTTTGCAACGTAGACCATTCTGTGATACTATGATGGTTCTCTGACAGGTATTGTAGCAGTGTAACTAGCTTTGAGTTCTTCAGTTCATCTTGGACTCGATAATTTCTTACAGTATGGTAACATTTGAATGTTATCTGCAGTCTGTGTGGGTAGGTATTCATTGTGGTGCTGCTGTGGGGGTCTCAGCAACCTGAGCTGTTGATGTGGTGGTTTGGTTTTCTTATAGTACCAAATGGGATTTTTTAGGCTTGACTTTTTGCAGGGGAGAAGGTGGGGAAAAAAACAACTGAGAAAGCCAAATATTTATTTTCTCAGCAACTTGGTAGGAAATCATAAGTTTGAGTTTTCTCTTCCACATCCTTAGTCTTTTCCATCTCAGATCCTCTCTTCTAGTTTTCTTTCACAACAAACTATCTGAAGGCATTCCTTGCTCGTCTACCTGTGCTGTGCTTTGTGCTCATGTAGCTTTGCTGCTGCTGGTGTGGCATACTAAAACTAGCATTTCTTGCAGGAAGAATTTAAAAATGGTTTTCTTTGATGAAAATTACTTAAAGCTTTTGTTTAGAGCTCAGCTCTGGGGAGTTGCTCTCCCTCTGGAGCGGTGAATTACACAGAAATTTGTATTTTTAAAGTAGCAGTCAAATTGTAAGAAGAAAATAAAATAGGCTTTTTTATGACTGATGCAATGCCAGAAGTTCTGTTAATACGTTGCTGAACTGTGATAAAGTTGATAGGATGTGGGAGATCTCCTGTTGATTGGAGTGAATTGGGATAAAGATGGGCAGGCTTTTTTCCTTCTCATTTAAGTGCTGAGATGGAGCGTTAACCTTATTTTCAAATACATTGGAGTTTGTCTATTTCTCTCAGCCTTTATATTTCTAAGACTGCCTACTGCTTGAACACTGAATTTGCACTTCTGTGACATAAATACTTCCAGAATCATGTTGGAGCTGTACTTGTATGTTAAGGGTAAGAAGTCAATACCGTTCTACCTGATATTGTTGAATTGTATCCAGGCTCGAGACAAATGAGAGCCCAGCATTTGTTTACTTGAGCATACTGATCCTATACAGCTGTTTTCTGCTTGTTTTTAGGATTAGCAACAAGAAAGAACGAACTTCTGTTTTAAAAAAACAAACCAAACCACTGAATTGATAAAGTGCACAGCGTATTGCGCTTAAAATTCTTGCAAAAGAAGGAAGGTCGTGCAGAATTCATCCTGAAGTTGGCTAGAATTGCAACTTCAGCTCCTCTCACTGTAGCTTAGGTCCGCTTTTTTTTTTTTGTAGAGTATTAAAAAGATCCTGCTTATATAACAAAAACACAAGCAATATTATGTTAATCTCTAGCTAAAGGATCTGAAAGGTTATGCCATGATTTCCTCTTGACGCCTTTTATTTGCTATGAGTATTATTAACTGAGAATAATGTGTGGTACTCAGTGACATTTTTGAAGTTTATTGACGTGGTCTTATTATAATAGATAGTGCTTATAGAAAATAGAGGTTTGGATGAAAAAATAAGCCTCACGTGCTCTCGTTATTGCTAAAACTATGTGCTTACAGAAGCCCAGCACCAAAAGGCCTGTAAAAAAGCATTACTTTTAGCTGCTTGGGACTCTGTACAGATTTTAGCTACTTGAGTCAGTGACCTGAAAACTTTGAGTTGATAGTGTTGAAATAATTTGTTCCAACATCTCTCGGAACCTATCAGGGCCTGTGTCTGACTTTGTGCTTTGTGTTGCTCTGTCTTGTCTGAAAAACTTGAACTTCAAATGTATTTACTAAAATTCGGTAATTTAATAACAAATGTTATATGCAGCTCTTAGGGATATAAAACAACTTTTTCCGTCTCAAACTCTGAAGGCTTCTTATGCTTTACTTTCTTTTCAGAGGCATAGATTTTCTGGAGCAGTTGTTCTGCTTGTGAACTTTGTCTATTTTATTATTTTGCACATTGTTGTAGCATGATGTTTTTATTAACATTCATAGAATGAAAGCCACATTTCACTTTTTTTTGTTTTTTAAATTGAGTAAGCTTATAGTTAAATCTTTTAAAATCAGGATTACAGCTTTCTTCAATTCTCATACGAACAAAGGGAGAGGCTTTTGATCTGGATTCAATTTATACTTTTTGTCCCTTTGTACAAAATGAGAAATAAGAATGCTGTGTGTATGTGCACACGTGCATACGCATGCAGTGTTACTTGCTGAAGATGCAGAATGCAGATCAGAACGTGTCCTTCCAGTGGTATTTTCATTTCTGGATTAATGTCTGAGCAGGAATATGGACTACCAATGCTCTTATGGTTTCATTTGCCTATCTGTAAAATTGGATTATAAGTGCTTTCAGTTATGATCAACTATTGGTAAACAACTTTAATATCTTTTGAACTATCTGTGCTAAAAAACATATTTAACCATGTTTTTTTCTCTTCTTTAGGATTCCTACAGAAAGCAAGTAGTAATTGATGGGGAAACCTGTCTCTTGGATATTCTTGATACAGCAGGTCAAGAAGAATATAGTGCAATGAGGGACCAATATATGAGAACAGGAGAAGGCTTTCTGTGTGTATTTGCTATAAACAATACAAAATCTTTTGAAGATATTCACCATTATAGGTGTGTATGCTGAAAGATAAATGACTCTTGTATTAGCTGCGTGGGTTGCTTGCTTTTTACACTGGATAATGAATTGACCTCTCATGAAATAGCACTTAAAGGGAAATTTGCAAATTAGCAATGTTGCAATTTACTTGTCCATTTGTAAGTCTGTAATTTTCGGTAATTGAAAATCTGTTGTTTCATTCTGGAGTTAAGCAGGCAACGTATCTGAAAGCTCTTCTGTTATGAATGAGTGTGACTGCCTTAGTAGTTATTATTTATATAGTAAGAAATTGTCTGAAGGTAAACTCTGCCTATTCCATAAATAAAATCGTGCGTTAAAGATGAAAAACACAGTGTAAATTTTACAGATAATACATTGTTAGCCTTTCTTCTCTGGGGGAAGAGGAGGAAAATACTCATGCAAGGGTATCTAAATGGGTACATAAATGGTAATATGGGCTCTGACACCTTAAAGAAAAAAAATTAAAAAGGATAACCATATGAAATTTCACATTCAGGATGATGGCTGATTGAGCTAGTTAAAAATTGAAACTCATGCTTGCTTGATGTCAGCTACTAAAATGGAAGTAGAAGCAGTCTCTTCTTCTGTTATCAGTACCAAGACAGTTATAGCTTTTTAGCTTCATGATACATTGAATTCTGCTTGGGAGTTGTGTTAGAAGACAAATCCCACCAAAGATTACTGATTTTTTTAGCAGCATCAGTTTAAGGTTGGTCCCAAATGCATAAGTTAAGCTATTCCAAGTTAGATATTTAAATGTTGTTGAGTTTATGTTGCTGTGTAGCATAGGAGTGACTTGCCATAAGTAATAACCACAAACTCAACATCTACTTTTAAACTGAAGTTGCCCACTTTGTGACAAATTAAAGTCACTGTTCCCTGCTTAAGGTGGGATACCACAATAGTTCAAGGTAATCAGAGTGAGGAGCTGTAGCTGTCTGGACTGTGTAGCTTTATTTCTCCTGTATGCTAGCAGTTCAGCTCATTTGGTAATGTAGTGTTGATGTGAGTTGCTAAACTGGTAGATTTCTAGCTACAAAACTAGTTTACTGCTGGCTTACCTCCCTGTAGCAACTGTGGGATCAGGAGAGTTCTGTATGCTCTTTGTTTCAGGACTGTTGCTTGCCCAAACTGGAATTGAGCTAGCCAGTCTTTGTATACCTTTCACTATATCTGAAATGTAGTAAGTGAAGAATGCGATGGTACCAGCAGCTTCCTAATAAAAATGGAATAGTTTAGAGTTCTCAGATATAAAATATCTCGCTCTCAGAAAAACACCCTACATCTCTCTTCATTGTCTAACCAGATTATTAGAAAGGAGTTTCCTCCCTCTGTAGAGGAGGAAGGAAATGGTAAGGTGTTGACGTAAGGCAAAAAGGAGTGTGAAGTTTGCTTTTAAAGTTTCATAAAGAAATAGTTGTAGACTTGCACAGGAAGGCCTTCTGTGTTTTAACTCAACACTGTGAGCTGAATCAGGAGCTCCTCCTGTGCATTCACACACCTGTGGATGACTTTGCAGACTGAAGCTGAATGTTTCTAAATAAATAACTGAAAACACCGAGTGCGTTAATTAAGGAGAAGAGTTAGAGATTATTTAAGAAAGCAAGGAAAGAAAAGAAGTAATAAATGATTGTTATTTGAGATTCTTTACAAGTACATCTAAATGGTATTGTAAAAACATTTTCTAGCTGGTCTTTGAAAAGACTCTGTACCAGATTTTTCAGAGAACCAGACCAGTGGTCTTCGGAGTTTAAAATCCCTTTATCTAAGTGCATAGTTTATAATGCTGACCTAGCCTGAAAAACACAGTACAGGCAGAGGGCTTTTGACTGTTTTATCTCAGCAAATGAACTGGGTGTTGTGAGTGCAGTGGAGATCGGTAGTAAGATTTATACCAGAGCTGTCATTAACTGTTGTTTTTGGGGAAGGTTCTTGTGTAGTGACATGAGAAGCTATGGCCGTTTGGCTTAGCGCTGCTGATAGAAACACTTGTTGCAACATGCCAGCCTTTTAAGAATAAAGTAATAAACTTGATGGTGATAGGACTTGATTAATTTATTTATTTTTTAGTAGCTTCTAATAGTGAATGTGCAGTGAATTAATGTAAGGAATGATGTTGAAATTCCATAATTTCATATGTTCTAGTATTTTATAATCTACTATATAAACTATTAATATCTGTTAAATAAAATCTTTTCTTTTTCTTTAGGGAACAAATAAAAAGAGTTAAAGACTCTGAAGATGTCCCAATGGTGCTAGTAGGAAACAAATGTGATTTGCCTTCCAGGACAGTAGATACAAAACAAGCTCAGGATTTAGCAAGAAGTTATGGAATTCCTTTTATTGAAACATCAGCAAAGACAAGACAGGTAAAGCTCACAATTTACCAAATAAAAATGTAGCGCTCTCAGCTCAGTTTTCATCAAGTTAATCATTCTGAGCATTACCAATCGCTTGGTTACAGCAATGGATTTGTTTCTTCAGAGTAGAAATTCTTGTGGTGTCTTTTCTTTCTGTCAGCTCTCTGACTACTGATAATTGTTTATTAATTTGTGATTTGCTTCTGTTGCGCAAACTGAAAGAATGAGACTTGGGCTGCTGGTACTCTCCACTGTCAGTTGCAGAATTCTTATTCTGCTAGGCTTTGTATGTAAAAAGTACACCTGTTTAGAGGTGAAATGTTTGTTTTCTCTTGTTTGCAAGAGGATTAAGCAGACAGTACATTAGTTTATTCTAAGCCTCGATAATAAAAGAATCTTTTAAGGTGTTAATTTAACATGAGCGGAACATGCTTCAAATACCTTTTTGTAAGTAAATGATTGACCGTGTTTTTTTTGAAGCTACAGGTGATATTAGGTACTAGGAGGAAATTCTTTACTATTCTTGACTCAGAAGATGGTGAGATGCTATGGTGCAGGCTGCCCAGGGAAGCTGCAGATGCCCCATCCCTGGAGGTGTTCAGGATCAGGTTGCATGGGGCTCTGGGCAGCCTGAGCTGTTGGGTGCAGTCCTGCCCATAGCAGGGAGTGGAATTAGGTAGCTTTAAGGTCTATAAGTCATTCTATGATTTCTGCAGGGTGAATTGCTTGTGTCAAGTGATAGCTTTTTAAATCTTTAGAGCACACATTTGTTTATTGTACTTTGCTGCTGTAGGTGGAAGAGACAGTGTTAGGGCTCTTTCACTATTTCTGTAACTCTTCTGTGGGACAAAGGTGCAGGAGGTGGTATATCTGTACTCAAAAGAAGATAAGCTATACAGTATAAATGAAACTGGTCATGTACTTAAGAAACCATTCCTTTTTTTTTTTAAAAAAAAAAAAACAGTTGGTTTGCGTTGGGTTTTGATATTTTTCACAGGAGAAAAGGGACTTACACTCAGAATTACAGCAGATCTGAGTGGTCAAATAACTTGTATTCTCTGCCTCTTCAGAAGTATTGCATGTGAGCTATGAATCGGTACATAGGAGTAGCAGAAAAAGGTAAATAAGGGCAGAGTGCTGCAATTTGAGTAATGTCATGCATCTGCTGAATAGATGGAGCTGCATCACTTGGCAGAACTTCTTTTAAGCAGTACATAAATTATTTCTATATTAAAAGGAATGACAATTTTATTAGTGCAAATATGCTGCACCCACCCAAGTTTCTGACAAGTTGAGACCTGGACTGATTACTGAAACTTTGCTGAGGATTCAATGGAATTCTAACTTGAGGCAATAAGGAAGAGCCTGTAAACCCTTGTCAGGTAGGGTAAGTAAAATAGAGCTGCAGAACTTCAGTGGCTGATGATCAGTGAGGCACAAGAATGAGTGTGGCATATAAATGGTCTGGATAATTATGATGATTACAAGCTCCTGCATTAGTGGCTGTCATTGAGATGTTAAGATAAAAAGGAAGAACTCTGAAATTGCATTTGAGGTTTGAAATCCAAATTCTCTACTAACATTTAGGTGTTACTTTGTTCAGCCTGCTGTATAGTGTTGTTTAGGGAATACTCTTCTCAAATCCTCTAGTGAAAGTGGATTGAAAATGATGTAATGTTCAAAGAGGCCCCAGTCTTCAGGTTACTCCTATAAGCCTACCTAGTGAAAAATTTCACACTCACAAATTACCATTGTTCAATTTTCATGTCTTAAGTTATGCAAAGTAGTATCAGCTATGTTTCTCTTTAACCCAGGTATGACTCTAAGGGGTCTGCTGGAGCTTTGTACTTTTCACTGGACAGTGGATGACTCGTGTATGAACTGCTACAACTTATTTCTTGGTGTTTTTTTTTTTACTTCATAATTCTAGAGGTGTCAACTGAAATATTATAGGAGGGGGCTGGCCTTTGGTTTTTCACTGTTGATCTTTACACCCTCTGCAGATGAGTAGTCTCCCAAAAGTCTCAGATTTTATGGTGGAGATACCTACTGGTCTCTTTTGGAAGGTAACATTCTCAGAAGGTGAACCATTAGATATGCTCATTTCACAGTGTGGCATTAAACCTCCTAATGATGCAGTGTTATTAAAATAGTAAGATTGAATGGAATTGAAAGAAGGACCTGATCTTTAAGTACAGCAAGCTCATCTAAATACTTGTGTTTGTATATATATGTGTGTGTTACGATTTTTAAGTCATTAACTGATATAAAATACACATATGCACATATACCTTCTTCTGAAGTAATTCTCTAAAGTGGGGGTGTGGAGGAGTCGAACCATTTTATGAGCTGGATGTGGCCCACAGAATGTATTTGTAGTAGGCAGAATTGAGTCCTTGGTGTAAAAAGAAATGAGAGAGAAGGAGATGTCTGTACATCTGATTCTTTTTGTGGCTATATGAAGAACTTGTGCTATGGGCAAATGTAGCTGATGGCCTAGTAACTTTGAGAGTCTGTATAAGCCCAAGAAGATTATTTAGCAGCAGGAACATTCTCACTCTTCCATTCGTGCAGCTGCTGGCACTAATGCCCTGCTGGCACTTGCTTTTGCCATTCCCTGTGCCCCAGCTTTGCCAGAGACGAACAAGAAGCAAAAGGGCTTCAGGGTGAGGAAGTAAGGGAGGTGAAACTGCAGAGGAGTTACCTGTCTGCTCTGTTTTGATTGCCGAGATGTGTCTTTTAAAAGGCAGTGCAGTGTGCTCAGGCATTATCTTATATCTCTTCCAACTAATCCCAATTTTGTTTAAGATTTTGTATAATTGATAGGTGGGGCCAGAAGTAGGAAAGGGAAGAACACTGGAAGCGTTTTAGAAGTTAATGTAATTGGTTTTCATTTCATTCTGACTGATGATGAAGATATAAACTTAACCTTACTGCACAAAAGCCATGTTGTTACACAAATCCTTGTGTGATTTTTTTTTTTTCATATGAATTGTTGAGTTGAACAGTAAAATATTAACTTAGTGTATCCTGCAGCTTGGGTACAAGGCTGTAGATTATTGGTTGTGCTTAATGGGGTGTTCTTTCTCTTTTTAGCTACACCACTGGCTAAAGTGAATATCATGTAACTCTTATAAATAGCACTATTGCTATTTTTTTATATGTAAACCAGTGTCTGTACTGGTGGTTTTATAGTGCATGTTGCATCAGTTATCCTTTCACAGTCCTTATGCAGAAGAGTATGAATTGTCAGGGTTTATCATTATAGTTGTTCTTACTTCTCTCTGTCTGACACAACCTTTAGTTTTATTAAATTCTTCCTTGTGCATATAGTGCATAGTTCCCCATCATGGGAGTGAGAGAGAGGGGCAGGATTATCCTGAAAAAGGGCTACTAGATCTGGTGTTTGTTACTGTGCCATTTACCTGAGTTATACAACTTTCAGTTGAATGTTTGGCTACCTTCTAAGTTGAAGGCATGTTGAAAACATTCCCATTGAGATCATGGGTTCTTCACATTGTTCAAAATCTAAACTCTGCTAAAGGGTGTTTTTTGCTTCCATTTCTATTGGCTGGTTTAACTATATTTTAGATGTGTAAACCAGACTTATTTAAGGAAGTAATAGTGAAAATGACTTGTGTTTATAAAAGCATGGCACCTGGCTCTCTAAAAATGTCACCTTGTGCTAATGAAATTAGCAAATGTTTCTTTGTATGCATTTGTTTTCAGAATAATTTTCCTCAACAGCATTCATAAGACTGTTCTTGATGGTGGCAGTAGTAGCAATTTCTTTTTTCACTCTGTCTGTCTCTCTGCCTCTCTCTGCATTGCTAAAGCAAATCATGGCTCCTGTTGGTGATGGGGAAGATGGCAATAAACAGAGTGACGAACTGTTGCCTGATCATTTGTGTGAAGCTCCATAATCAAATTATGTATTTCTATTGCAAAACAGTAGATTTGCAAAGCGTTGATTCTCATACAGCCTGTGCTTTGGCACGTAGCAGCTGATCATATTGAGTCTTTCCTCCTCAGGAATAAGTTTCCATGCCTTCTAGGAAATCATGAAAATATGAGCTTTACTTGATGTTTGTAATAGCTCCTTTAAATTTTTCAAGACCTGGAACCTAAGAAGACTCAACTTGTAGTGAACTACTGACATGCTTACTGGACGCATCTTGTGTAAGAGATATCACCCAAGAAATAAATTAATTTAGTCTTTAAATTCAAATGGCTGTAGTTCAGAAGAACTCACAAATAAGCAGCAGTCTTAAATAAGATAGCCCATGGTGTGGTTCATGCAAAGAGACCCACTAACTGTAGCAGCGAATGGTAGCTATTTTCATTGTTGGGTGCACAGTAAAAAGATGAGCAGGAGAGTAACTTAAAGAAAATCTGTCATATAGAAGCTCAGATTTTGAGTAATAACAAAGTTCTGGGGTTTAAATTAATCTGTATTCTTGATATTCGGTGTCTTTCACTTTTATTTCCAAATAATGAGCTTGTGTTAAATTAACAACAGTGTTGATCTGACTGAAGAGACAAGTCAGGAGATCGACTGAGGAGAGATTTGCATCTCCTTTAAAAGCTGTAGCTAAACATTACTACCAACTTAATGATAGTGCTGTACTTTTCTATTTGCTGAAACGTACCGATCCTCATTATTTTTTCTTTAAATGCTTATGGTATCCTTATCTCTAAGTGGTGTAAAGGCATAGCTGTGGAGGAGGTAGGGTGTGAGACCAGAGGGTGAAATGCTGCTCTGTTGGCCCTGGTATGCTTGAGCAGCTGTCTGTAGCCAAACGAAGATGTGAGCAGCAGCAGGTCTGTCTGTATGGATGTAGTGCTGCCATAAGGCCTGACTCTGGCCCAAAGAGAAGAACTCAGGTGTGCCTTGTATGTGATCTGAACCAAGCTTTTTCACATCATCAGTAATGAACTTGTTGCTTTGTCAGCATGGAAGAATAACTTCTCTTATTATGGTATTTACATTGGAAAGTTATTCTGAAATACCATTGAGATGCTTCTTAGAAAGCACTTTGCCATGACTCAGAAACACATTCTTCTAAGCCTGCTAGCATAATCCTTGCTCTCTAAAAAAGCTTTAAAAACAATAGTCTGGAATTTTGTATTCTTAAGGGAATTTATTTATCAACTCCTATGAACTTTTTCTATACTTTAGTAGCTTGCTGCACAGATTTTGCAAACCAAGTACTTATTTAAAGAACAGAAGATAAACAAGATTACTTTTCTTTGCCAGAAACAGCCCCAGCAGTGACAGGTTCTGGCTTTGGCTAAGAAGTGAAAATAGTTGGCTAGCTGTATGTAAGTGCCCCCTAGTTACCAGTCTCATAGGGCTTTTTGTCTGCAAAATACATTCACACCCACAAAATTATGTGAAAATATTCAGAAATTGAAGCTCTATTTTCAGCACTGGAAGAAATGGAAGAAAATTCTCCATCTATTCTGATGGATGGGATCTCTGATTATCATCTCTGGACTCGATATGAGCGCAGACTTTCTGTGGGCCATCTGGATATCCATAGACTTCCCTCAAGTAAAGCTCATAATTTGGGTACTTTTTTTCCCTGCTGTGGTGTTCCAATATGTCAAGATTGTCAATAAAGCAGTTTTTAAGGAGTTGTGTTTTACAATGCAGAGAGTGGAGGATGCTTTTTATACATTGGTGCGAGAGATTCGACAGTACAGAGTGAAAAAAATCAGCAAAGAAGAAAAGACTCCAGGGTGCATGAAAATTAAAAAATGCCTTGTAATGTAACAGGGTAAGTTTTGTAATGTAATAGGGTAAGTTTTAAAGTCATTTGCTGAATAACACTGATCAACGGTATTTTGCAAATCAGACATTTTATGATTAACTGATTACATAATTTAAAGTATAATATCATTCAGATTTCAGTATGGCAGTCCTAAATAGCATACCTAGCAAACACCTATAGATTTACTTTTCTCCTGTTTCTTTTTTTGATAAATAGGTTAAAAGAAGACCTTTACTGCATATCAAGTTCTCCATCTGTAAAAATAGAGATTTTGTTTTGTGCCTCAGGAATTTGGGAGGAAAATGTTTTAACACGGATTTATTGCAGATACTACAGAAGCTGTATGTTGAGTGCATCTTCAGGCTGATGAACTGAGGGGAGAGGATCATAAAACTTACAGTCCTTCTGAGATGTAGATGGGGGTTTCTTGATTATTTTGTTTATGTTTTTTTGGAGCCTTTATAAAGGGGAGGAAAAGGCAATGGTGAAGTACAACTGGAAAGAACAGTTGCAGGATTCTCACAAATAATAATTTTTTAAATCAATACACTGCACTGTAAGAAAAAGAAGGGGGAGAGGGAAGAATTGGTGATGTGTGAGAAGTGCAAGTCTAAATCATTTCCAGTGATGTTTGGGTAAACCATCACATTAGCTCCCTGAGTTGATTCTTTGCCTCTTTGAGAGTGTGGTCTGTTACTCCTCTAATGGACTGTTCAAGCTGGACGATGGTGTGGAATTTCCTATTGCTAAAAAACTCATTGAAAAGCAGTTTTTTCACACTGTAGAACAGCTTGCAGAAAGCAAGAGGAATTTGACTTCTGTCTTTAAGAAGACTGTTGTAACTGAAGGAAGATTTCCTTTAATAAGGAGTTGGGGGGGAAGGGAAGGAGAAAATCTTCTTTTATAAGCATGAGCACATCTAGTAAAAACTTATTATATTCTTAGCTTTTTAGTGATGAATGACTGCTTTGAGCTGCATCATTAGATGTTTTCTAAAAAAAAAAAAAAAAAAAAGATGCTTTGTGATACTATTTGTATCAAAGGCTTCCTTTTCAGGAAACTGGAAGCTAGTATTGATGTTACCCAACTTTTGCATCCAAATACCAATAAAATTAGTGCTAATAAAAACCTTTTTGTAGTTATTTTAAAAAACAACTAAAAGCAGCTTTGCAAGACTGCTTTTGATGAAAGTAATATGAATTAAAATTGCTCAAGCATCCATAATGTAGCATTCTCAGGGCCAGCTTTTCCATTTCTTGCTGTTTGCTAGTATAGTCTCAATGTGAAATGTCTTTTATTTCCATGGAAGGGTTTTTAAGTCTTACTACTAAGCCCCTGCCCAACACCTTGTTAATGGATTGACCTTGTTCTCTTTTCCCCTCTTCCTATGGGAAAGTTTATTCCTTTTTACTTATTAAGAGTAACTTACTGGACTAATTCTGATGATGGGGAGTGATGGAAGCATTTATTTGTAAAACCCAAACTAAAATTTCTTTTAGTATATTAGTACTTTAGTGCTGTTTGCTTTTCCTTGTGGACTTTCCTGTGAGGAGTATAGAAGAAGTATAGATTTTTTTTTTAAGTGGAGGAAACTTTTCATATTTTAAGATGCTTTTTTTTTTTTTCCTTTAACAGCTCAGGGAACATATAGGTAGGTCACTTTGAGAGCCATGTCTCCTATTTATTTTCATGGAAACTGCAGCAGATACAAAGAGCACAATAACACTATTTAATAGAGCACATTCTCAGCTACAAAATGTTCTTTTTCAACATAGTCATCGCTATTGGCAATGCTTTTTCACCAGAAATGAACAGGAGCTACATGACTCATTCCTGAAAGTCTACACTAGTAAAGGTGCCACTGCTGTCACCGCTGCTGAAGAGCACCACCTCACTGTGCTCTCACATCTACTGTTTGGTCTCTGTAAACATTCAGCAAGTGTTGAGGAATGTCAGTGGGTGCCATTTTTCAACATGGACAAATTCAGTGACACACCCTTCGTATGCACTTCCATGTCAGACACCGTTCTGTCAGACTGCCTGCTCTGCTGCCATCTGTCACACAACAACAAAACGTAATGGAGTATTGGTGGGAAAGTTCGACCTCTGCTGCCATATCAACAACATCCATCTGAAGTCATGGGCCAGCATCATGAAGTAGGAGGCATTATTTTCAAAGCAGCCCTGCTTCCTTTCCACCTGCTTCCAACTTTTTCTGCCTACTTCAAAGAGAAATGAGTTTTTAGGGAAATCTTTTCTGTCAGTAATCAATATTTTTTTCTTTTTTTTTGTTTTGTTACATACCTTACTTAAAAAACAGTCAGAAGGCTGTAGTGCTTGCAGTATCTGCTCAGCAGAGGAAACACTTGTCTTCATTTTCAAATTAATTCTATATAAATACCTTCAACTTACTGATAGTCATTGCAGCAGCTTCATGTTTGGGAGATTAAGCTGGAGAAAACATACTCCAAAATTCTTGCACTATTAGCTGTAGCACAGCAGTGATGATAGTGGCATGAGAAATCCAGCATTTAAAACACTCTGGCTTGCATTACTGTCCACTTAGTAAGACTAAATGTGTTTTTTTTCAGCCTGCTGTATGTTAGATGAGCTAAGGTGAGCAGTACCTAATGATATATTTGAGGCTTGCTCATTGTAACAAGCGTTGGAGTGATGCACAGTGTTTATCTTCCTTTCTTGCCTATGGGTTATCGAATTTGTTCAGACTGTTTTCGTACCTCTTGGAACATCCAGTTCATGAAAGCTCATTAACTTACCAATTCTTAATTAAAACTAATTTCATGATTTTTCTGTAGCACTATGGAGGTGTATGCATAATTTCTTTTTCTCATGACTCTGAGTGTGTGAGAGATATATTTTAAAAGACTCTATTTGAGGTTGTATTCCTTAGGAATCCCAATTCCTTGAGAATTTGGGGTGTGTAGGGTGATGGATTTAGGCTACTTGCCACGTTTCTTGCATGTCTGTAATTACATAACCAGTCATCCAGACTTCTGTACAGCCACTAGATAACACAATTGTAGTGCTCCAAAGAGAAGCTGTAGCCAGGATTGGACTGCTTTCTGAACATTCTGATTTTTCTGTTCCCTTCACTTAGTTGCCCTTTGGAAAAACAAATGCCATGAGCAAGCTCTGTCCTGTATGCAGCAAGTTGCTCTAAACCTCTGCCTTCCAGAGCAGTGTGCTATAGCTCTGAGTGTGCTTTCTGAATTTTGAGTTTCTAATCCTGAGCCTGGATTGAAAGCATTCATTTGGTACATCTCATACTTTCTGAAAAGCTTGTACACAATGACCCCAGTGTTAGAGGGAGAAAGGTCAGCTGCATGTGGTCCCTCGCTACTGAAAGAGGTAACTGGGAAAATTGACCACTCTTGATCTTGTTTGTAGTACTAGTGCCTTCAGAGATCTTCTATAATTGTGGAGTATCCACTACTTGTATTCTAATTGCATTTTTAAGATTTAATTCGCAGACTGAAAAGTGAAGGACCTGCGTTTCTCTTGAATCTCCAGTTCTAACACACAAATATTCTAAGTGTTTTCTATGTTGTATTTACTGTTTATGCTTAAAATGAATTATGACAGAACCAAAAGTAGTAAATACCTAGTTTACAACTGTAAAGGCTTGCTCTGCAAAGGTATAAATGCAAGGACAAAAGCAAGTTATTCCCAAGTATTTTGCAACATGTGCTGTCTTTGAGATTACCACTTAGGAGGTGCAATAGAAGATTTCAGCCTTAGCTGTGAAGTCACATGCTCAAAGGGCCACAGTATTACTTAAAACACAGATAAAATACCTTGTATAAAAACTAGTTTGAGGAGAGAAAATTGCTCATTTGAAGACTTGAATTACAATATCTGCTAAGCGCATCTTGCTTGAAGATGCTGCTGAAAGCCAACAACTATCCTTGTAATGAATGTTGTTCTGACACAGTAATGATGAGCCTGAAGTGCTGAAGGGTAGTTTTGTAACAAAATGTGAACAGTCTCGTAGAATATTGTGCAAAAGTCGTTCTTACACCATTCTTATGTTGTAAGAATGAAACTGTTGTTGACTGTTGTGACAAACCCTGTTGGTGAGGTGCTGGAATAGGCTGCCCAGGGAGGTGTTCAAGGCCAGGTTGGATGGGGCCATGGCCAGCCTGGTCTAATATTAAATGTGGAGGTTGGTGGCCTTGCATGTGGGAGGAGGTTTGGAGCTCGATGATCCTTGAGGTCCCTTCCAACCTAAGCCCTTCTATGACTGGTTCTTAATACTTCCCTCCTGGTTGGCAGGATAAGAACTGCAAAAGGTACGCAGTGATCTATTGCTATTTGTAGATCATTTCCCTGCATGAACTTTGCTAAATGTTCACTTTGTGCATTCAGGCTGAAATCATAAGTAAAATATTGTCCCTCTATAAAATAATGCCAACCTTTTCTGATTCTCAAAAGACTTCACCTTTTACAGAGCCATGCTTCTTATGAGGTACACTACATCAATTTCTTTTTAGCAAATAATATTTTCAAATACAGAGCAACTTAATTGCATATGTATTTTATATGTTAGAAGACCTTGCAAAACTCAGTTTTAGAGGATAGGCAATGAAGGACTTTGATCTAATAGCACTTATTTGTAAGTGTTTATATACACAGGAGCAAACCAAGAGTGCTGATTTCTATTGGCAGCTTGAGGGCACAGTAGCTGACAGGAGATCTGCTGGCTGCAGGGCTGGATTTCTCAGCACAGTTCTGTGCTGGTGCAGCTGGCTGCTGTGAGATGTTAACATTATGCAGCTACTGCACATAAATAGGTCATTACAAAGTATAGCCTGTAACGTTGCACTTGATTATGAGTCACATCAGGTTTATGGGTGTCTGGTCAGAAGTAATAAATTTTGTCAGTTATCCCCCAAAAGTAGAGAAACATGTGAAGAAACATTAGCATTTGTGTCTGTAGCTTAACTGCTGGAGCTGTGGAGGTTTTAAGTGACTGTACATGATATATAGACTACAGACAGTTTGTTCCATGTGTCTTTGAGTAAGTTGAATGGAAAGATTTATCAAATGTTAACTGATCATTGCAACATGATTGATTTGAATCATTTGTTTATGTAGAGTTTTTAAGAAACCTGTAGTGTGATTAGTGTTTTAGCATGCCTGACAAAAGGACCTGAATATGTAGATGAGTCATACCTATCTCTTTGGTACTGAATTGCTGCTCTCATGTTTGTGTTTTAAAGCTATGCATAGATTTTCAAGTGTAAGCAAAGCTAACAAATGCTTCAGAGCTTTATTCTGAAATCCAGCAGTAGTACTATACATCCTTATGATCTAAATGTGGCTTATTCAGGTGGCTGATCCTCATCCTGCACCCAGGAGGAGCTGTTCACACAGTGGCCACCTGCTCCCTAGAGCTGCTCTTCTGCAGGGCTGCACACAGGGATGCTGTCAGATGTATGCATTCTCATGTAACTTCTCAACAGGAGACAGCTGCAGTCCCCTCACCATCTCAGTTTCTCCCAACGTGCCCGTTCTCAAAGTCCCAAAGGGAATGCTCAAAAAGGTGTTGGTGTCCTGACAACTCCTACAACCTACAGCCTGCTCTTGGGGTGTTGTAAGGCTCTCAGCGAGGAGAGGGTGGTGTCAGATCTCCTGACAGAGCCTCCTGCAAGCAGGCTGCTGATTGAAAACACTTTACCTGATCTGCTCAGGTGAAACGAGGCTGTACATAAGCAGGCAGCTGAGTCTGTTAAAGTGATCATAATGTGTGTATCTGTGTATCTTTTTAGGGTGTTGATGATGCCTTCTATACATTAGTTCGAGAAATCAGAAAACACAAAGAGAAGATGAGCAAAGATGGTAAAAAGAAGAAAAAGAAGACAAAGACAAAGTGTATAATTATGTAAATACAATGTATCCTTATTCTTAAGACGTACTGAAGTAATTTTTGTACATTACACTAAATTATTAGCATTTGTTTTTAGCATTACTTTACTTTCTGCTTCATGATCCTGTTAGCTTTACCTGAATGCTTGTTTTAAATGACAGTGGAAACTTCATTCCTCTTAAAGTGCCAGTATTCTTTGAGTGTTGGTTCTTGAACTAGCAATGCCTGTGAAGAAAAATAAAAACAAAGGAAAAAAAACACACAAAAACCTGAGAACTGTCTTAGGACTCTTTGGTGCATGCACAGTTGCTAACTTACTACTTTTCCTACTGATTGTGAACTTCTGTTCTGTGTGTAAACAAAACAATGAAATGATGCTCTACGTGTTCTAACATCCCCCTTAATTTTTACTGTTTTTTATTTTTTAAATCTGGTTGGGAAAACAGACTAGTTAGCGAAAAAGACTTTATTTTCAGATTTCCTTTTAATTTAGACTGACTGCAATATAGAGAGACCAGAAGCCTTTATAGTCTTCCTGTAGATTTTGCTTCTAGGCATCTAGTCTTGTAGCATTTCAGATCAACTTTATTGAATGTAAAGAGAAAACTTTCACAAAAAAAATTTTTCACTGCAATTTGTCTCAGTCACTCCTTAAATACTATATTTTTTCTATTAAAAAAAAAAAAGAAAAATTAAAAAAAAAAAGACACTAATGCACATCTGGCAATGGAAAAAGTAAAAGTTCCAATTAGATTGATTTCCTGTTGTTAATGCATTGCTTTAAAACTTTCACTTAACTTTTTCTGTCTGAAGACACCAAGGTGAAATCTTAGCTCTCCTGAGCCCCCAGTGGTAAATCTTCAGGAAGCTTTGTCCAGTAGGATGAGATTTCACTCTTAAGTGTCTCCAGGAAATACTAGAAAGCCTTAATAGATAAGTTGATTCAATTTCTTAGGTTACTTCATACATGGATCCAGAATTTATCAAGAATTAAATTGGAATGAATCCTGAATTATGTAGTAAATTAAAACCATTTGATTTTTTTTTTTCCCCAAGGGTGGCATGAAATGTTTCCACATGCCCATTTTATGTAAAAATAGGAGCAGAATTTTAAATTCTAGTAACCTCAAATCAGTGAATGAATGAGCTTGAACGTAGCTGCTTCATGCAAATAATTTGGAAATCCACTATGCCATAAAAATGGTGTGGAATTTGCACTAATCTTCAGCATAGAACATGGTTTCCAGATTCAGTGTTGTTTACGTGATATCTGTGAAGTGCTAGTTTTGTTGCACAGATTAAATGGTTGGTGAGTGGCATTCCAATGTCTAGACTGTCATGAAACTAGACCAAGATTTTAATGTTGTCTTTCTCCGTGATTAAGTCTCTTGTGATTCTTTTTTTTTTTTTTTTTCCTTTCTGATCAGAATTAATGCAGAATTTTTTCAGAAGCTTTCATTCTTGGTACTGTGCCTAGCTGTTCTGCACCGAAGTAAGAGCTTGTGTTTCCAGTGCTGCCTGTTCCTGTTTTCTTCCTGCAAGAGTTACAGTGCTAGACTGTATTAGTTGCCTCAGTTCCATAAGGCACACTGGTACCCAGTCAGCTGCAGAACAGAATTGGAAGTGACTTTGTGTACCAAAAGTAAAACAGAAGTCACCAAAGGAGGATAGTACGGGACAGTGGACTGGTAAGTTCTGGAAGTTTGGAAAAGGGAGTAGCAGCATTGCCCAAACTTAAGCTATAACTAAACCATTACATGGAAAATTTACACAGTGTCATTGGAATATACCAGTGTAACTTAGACCATTTATATGATGTCAAAGGTGCGACTGCAGACACGCATCATTTTGCTTCTTACAGCAAAAATCAGCAGCGACTGTTAGGTGGAGAGCTGCAAAGCTGGCAGGGGAAGTGTGCTGTCCAGATTGCTGCATGTTCTTTCATGCACCTGAGAAGGTAACAAATGAGCGCCTTTCCCTGCCTGCACTGACTGCTCTCCCAGCCCCCCACCAGCTCCCATCTTTTCAGCATCAGTGTGGGATATATTTTAGGTTATGAAAAAGAAAATTGTAAAATTGCAATAGGAGAACGTAACTTTATACATATTAAGGGCCAACAAAGGAATACTGATAAATTTTTAATGTCCTAAAACATTTTACAGCTTCCAAGGTTAACAGCATTTTGGAGGCGGTTATTTGCACATTGTAGATTATATATGATTATATATGAAGAAGATAGCAAAGCTAGATAGTATAGCCTGAGCTAACAACAGCAATCTTAAGGTGACTTCAAGGATTTTTGGTAACTGAGTCACACTGCATGTAAAATTAGGGATGGTCTAAAACTCTCACATTAATTTAACTAAAATGTTAGGGGAAATAAATTTTGCAGAAATATCTTAATAATCAAGCGTGGATTGATAGAGCTTTACTATCAAGATATATATAAAGTAAGTTTTTCGGTGTGATCTGTAGCTACCAATCTAATTAAATTATTACAAAATTGCCCTGTAATAGCCCTTGTTGACTTAAAGGAAAAAAAAAAAAAAGAAAAATACTCATCCTTGCCACTGTTGTGCAGTTTTGTCTTAATATTTGTAGAGATTTGGTGAAGCATGTTGGATTGCAGCTTGCACAAGTTGATCTCAATTATTCTGTCTTTCCCTATTTGAAATGCTTTCAAAGGACATACCTGGATGCTATCTTTTCTGGCAGTAACTGCTAACTGAACATGTGAATCACTTGCTGCATTAATACATTACATTGCCATATGTCAGGGAGTAACACCTTCTTACAGTAGCTTTATGTAACCCTGGTAAACATTATTACTGGTTTTCTCAGAACTGAACGTTATTTTAACCAGTCTCATTGCCCTAACTTAGGAAAAAAAAGAAGTTACATCACATAGGATCTCTGTAATAGGTGAATACAGACACACAATCTTCTACACTTCATTCTGTGAAGCAATACAACCTTCAAAGACCATCAAACTGTATACCAATCATTTTGTCTGAAGTTTACATAAAGCTACATAGATGGTAAACCTTTCCTAACATTTCTTTATTCCACTGTCTTGTGTTTTCATGTTGAAAATACTTCTGCTTTTTCCTCTTGAGTGCCAACTTCTTACTAGAATGACTTCTTAATGTAATATGTTTACCTGGAATGTATTTTAACTATTTTTGTATAGTGTAAACTGAAACATGCACATTTTGTACATCGTGCTTTATTTGATGTGGAACATATGCAGTGTGATCCAGTTTTTCCATCATTGGTTGCGTGACCTAGGAATGTTGGTAATACCAGATACTACATTTAAAAAAAGAAAAAAAAAAAACACAAAAAACCTCTGTTTGTTTTAAAATTTTTAATGTTTTTAGGAGTATGTGCTGTGAGGTGATCTGGAATTTGTCTCTTTTTTTTTTTTTTTTTTTTTTTGTCAAACTGTACTGCTCCTATTTATTGTAATGTAATAAAAAATAGTTATTGTGAACTTCTGTCCCTGTTTGCTTTTCTCTCTCCAAGAATTTCAGTGCTTCATCTCTGCAGTGGAGTAGTCCGTGCCCCTGTACTCGGCTCCAGTGAAGCTTCACCTTGAGTACTCTGTCCAGCTTTGGGCACCTCAGTACAGAAAGGACATTGAGGTGCTGGAGCAGGTCCAAAGAAGGGCAACAAGGCTTGTGAGAATATGCCCCACAAGGAGAGACTGGAGGAACTGGGGCTGTTTAGTCTGGGGAAGAGGAGGCTGAGGGGAGACCTTATTGCTCTCTTCCAAAATCTGAAAGGTGCTTACAGTGAGAGCATAGTTGGTCTTTTCTCACTGGTGACAGGATGAGGGGAAATGGCCTCAAGTTGTGCCAGGGCAAGTGGTTGGATATCAAGAAAAACTTTACAGAAAGGGTTGTTAAGCACTGGAATAGGCTCCCCAGGGAGGTGGCTGACAACCATTCCTGGATGTGTTTAAAAACCGTTTGGATGCGGTGCTCGGGGACATGATTTAGTGGAGAGTTGTTAGAGTTAGGGTACTATGGTTAGGCTGTGGTTGGACTCGATCTTTAAGGTCTTTTCCAACCTGAGCAATTCTATGATTCTATGAAGTGCACACGTGTTTGGCAGTTTAAACTTATTTCTCGTACTTTTCATTGCCTGCCATAAGCGGCACTGACACAGCACAGCGCGTGGTAACGCTGAGCCCTCTGGTGGGCCATGCTGGCTCTGCACTCTGAGCAGGGCCCGGCCTCAGGTGTTTGCGTCTCGGTTTCAAGTGCGTGTAGACATCTCTTCCCTGAATCGAAGGGCCGTCGCTCCCAGCCAGGCACAGAGACCAGGTTTTCCTTACTCTAAAAGGAGAAGGAATTTGTATCTGTCTGCAAGCCTGAAATGGCCAGAAGAGTCATTCTGTACTCATTCCCAGCTGTGTACACTCACCTCTATCAAATGCCTTTCGTGAACTTAGAGAAAATAAAAGCATTTCCTTAGTATTGATTGTGTCCTAGGGAAAAAACAAAACAACAACAACAAAAAAAACAACAAAAAACCTGTAGAATTGTTACTGTTCCTGCAAGTTGGCCCTTTGTATCTGTAACCACGTTTAGATAATCTTTTACCAGTTATTGGGCAGGGTTAGTTACGTTTTTTATGTAAATATATTTTTGCAGAGTAGGTTTCACTGCAACATATTGTAGGGGAGTTAATTCAACTGATACAGAAGGGCTTTGTCAGATCAGTGCAGTACAAAGTGAAGCACACATCTCAAGTCTCTTATTGGCCTTTTTTTTTTCCAAACTTTTCTGGAACCTATGCATCTTAATACTGCGGCTGTTGCCAACAGTTCTGCTGCAGTGATTTACTTACCTATATTTCAAAGATCTTTTCTGTTCTATCTCCAGCGTCATTTAATTTATGTGAGAAAAACCAAAGCAGCAAACCAGCAGAGCATGTAGATAGGAATAGTTAAGGTGAAAGTCTGCGCGTTAAGCCAAAGTTCACAAAGTTATCCATGGAGCAAACAGCCAGGGTCAATCTTCTCCAGCAGGGGAGAGGACTGAGTTCTAAACTCTTGCTAAGGCAGTTATGCAGCATCAGAAATCAGTAGCTGCAGGAATTGTCTTTGGAATCTGAGTACTTAAACCATTTCTGTTCCAGTCCATTCCCTTCCTGACTCACTGGTCATCACAGTAAGATGTCAGTCAGTTGATGTACATTATGTAGATATAGCCAAAATCCTAATATCCTTTTGAGAAGGTGCTCAGTTGTGGTGAAAAATATTCATTAAATGTGGAAGACTTTCAAACCCAGATTCCTCTTCTAACTGACAAAAGATGTGTAGCACCTCAAATCAGTATTGCAATGCACAGCAGAACCAATACAGAAGCAGTGATTTCAGCACGTATAGGGAAACACAATCACATCACCACTTCTGCCTGCAGAATTATTCTCAGTTATAGTTCAAGGAGACCAAAAGAAGTTGAGAAAAAATTACCTGAGTAATACACACCCCAAATCTTTCCAACGCCTCCTTAAGGGTAAATGAAGTCCCAATTTGTATTCTAAATGAGGTGGAAGGATTTACTGTTCATTTCTTGTGAAGTTTCATTTCTTTTATTGGCTGTTTATGGCTTTGTATCGTTAGGGTCGCAGCAGTTATTCTTTGTCATCGCTGTAGTAGCGCTTTTTCATAGCTCTGTATTTCCTGAGGAAGTACAAAGCCTCCAACTCTTTTATAACAAACTCTCCTCGTGCAATTAGCTGCTTAATTTTTTCAGGATCTTTCACATCTTTGTTTTTTAGAAAAGCTGCTTTCAACCGGCTTCTAAAGTAGTCTGCTCCTTTGGGATACTCCCTTCCAAGGTACAGCAGCTTGAAGGGAGAAAGAAAGACAGGCTTTTAGATAGGCTTCAAAATACAAGGATTTTGTTTAGCTGAGGGAAGTGCTCGTGGCATTCAGACACTTACATTTTTATAAAGGTTCAGCACTTCACCTCTCAAAGAGCTGGCCATTGCACATGTCACTCAACTCTTAGTTCTTAAGCGTGGCAACGCTTAATTTACCTGCAGGATAACCAGCGCGACGTTAGCCTGTTACGGAAGCCAGCAACCCCAGCCTCGCTTCCCACACCGATTGTAGCTTCTCTCCAGCCTCACCTCAGCGCAGCCCCGCTTGCCCTACCCGCACCCCTCTCCTTCAGCGCCCATTTCCCGCCCCGCCTGCAGCTCTGCCCCGCTCCCGCCCCGCCTGTCACACCGGCGCGGCCGCCCTGCCCGCTTACGTTTCCGCGGCCTGCTACATAAACGCTGCCAAAGCGCTGTTAGTAACGACAAATCAATAAAGAAGCGTCAGTCGTTAAGCGCGATGCTTTTTTATTTCTGTAAGTCGGAGCCGGCCCCAGCTCGCTGCCCGTCGCTTCGGGCGCTCCCTCCCTGCCAGGCCGCCCCCCGCCCCGCCAAAAGGAGAGAAGGGCGAAACGAAGGTCGCCGCCTCACCGGCTCCGCGCCCTGCCGTAAAGCGCGCCGCTTTACGACGCGGCCGTCACGCGACGCACCGTGCTCCGCGCCATAGGCGGCCAGAAGCGCGCGGGCCGTCGCCATGGCAACGCGGCGGCGCCATGGTAAGAGCGGGAGGGGGGTGGATTGGCTCTGGAGCGGCCGCGTTATTTAGTGACGGCGGGGGGAGGCTTTTCTGATGATTTTTGTGTTCTCTGCCCCGTTCTCTGATTCTGCCTATCCTTTGTTTTTGTCCCCAAACTTCTAGGGTCCAAAAAAGCAAAAAAAGGTAGGTGGAAGCGAGGTGATCGCCTCGCGCCCCGCGGTGCTCATGGGGCGACGCACCAGGGCGGTTCTGTGAGTACAAAGCGCTCATGCTGAAACTGAAGAAAGCATCAGTTACTCCTAGATTCAACGCATCCAAAAACAGTATTGTAAGGACTTTCTTTCTTTTTTTTTTTTTGTCACGGTAAAGCTGTTGTGACGACATTATTGTATGCAAATACGTTTAAAAACAAAAAAGATTCAGGTTAGCCCTGCTGGGCGCATGCTGTGGGCACTGAACTCCCACCAGCGCTGTGAGCTTTCTGATAGCCTTCGTATCCCGAGTCACAGTCATGCATTTATTTATCACCGTGCAAAGGGATGTGAATAGCTTTCCAAATAGTTATGCATGTTACCTAAATTCAGATCTCCAAAATGAAACATCCAGGGTAGCTGCCTGAAATGTTGATGCATCTTCACCTCACGCTGTCGTGTCTGCTGAACCCATGCACACTGCCCATCCACACTCCCTATTTTCTCTGTTTTGAAAAATCAAACACATGTTCTTTGAATTTCTTTCACTTGCTTGTCAGCAGCAGAATGCTGTCGTTCAGCCAGTGCACACATACCCCACCTGATGTAAGTCATTCCTTTCCCTTCATGTCTTCTTGTTTGTCATCTGCAGCTTTGCTTTCAGCTATAGCTTAGTCTGCTGTCATTCCTTGTTTTCTCCAGACCCTGGAGCCTGTACAGAATATAATTTTTTGTTCCTCACCTATAGAAAAAAAAAAATAATAGCAATCCCAGCCCCACTCAGCCAACACTGTGGACTGTGAATTCATTTTGCAGTACAAAATCAGCCTCCTTGTTTTCACAAGTTCCATAAACTTGATTTACTTTTCAGCCCATCCTTCCTTTTCATAGAATGAGTTGGGTTGGAGAGGACCTTAAAAGATCACCTTGTTCCAACGTCTCTCATTGTAGTAGTCTCTTATTGATTTGTGTGTGCTTTTCTTTGTGGTCACTGATTGCTGTTGTATTGGGGCCTTGTCTTTGCAGCACCTGCCTTCAGGATCAGCACTCCTCCCCAGTGGCATGTCACTCACTCCTGTGGAATCAAGCTGCACATTACCCATCCAGTGCTACTGCAGCACTAAATGCTAAAAAATAATACTTGAAGTTGTAACATCTACTTTCTTACCAGATCTACTTATTATTTAATTTCCAGATTAAAGATTATTTTTTCTGTTTTCAGGAAACCTAGCACAGAATTATATGAGGGCTGCTCCGAAAGTAATGCCTCCTATTTTATTATGTTGGCCCATGATGTCAGGCAGATGTTGATTGTATGTTGTTGTTGTCCTGCCAATATTCTATTACATTTTGTTGCCGTGTGACAGATGGCAGCAGGACAGTCTGACAAAATGATGTCTGACACGGAAGTGCATATGAAGCAAAGGGATGCCACTGAATTTGTCTATGCAGAACAAAATGGCATCCACTGACATTCATCAGCACTTGGTGAATGTTTATGGAGACCAGCAGTAGGTGTGAGCACACAGAGGCAGTATGTGGTGCGTTTCAGCAGTGGCAACCATGATGTGAAAGACAAGCTACATTTGGGATGACCATACACAGGTGGCACACCACAAAACAATGAACATCTCAGTCAGCTCATCTGCACAAATTGACAGAGTATACGACCAAGAAACTGTGTGCAGAACTAAATAACTGCTTTGAAAATAATGGTGGCAGTGTTGGAATATCACAAAATTCGTGCCAAGTGGGTCCCACAAATGCTCACACAGTAACAGAAGAAACATTGAATGCAAGTTTGTCAGAACCTACTGAACTAATACAAGGCCAAAGATTACAGTTTTCTGGATCACATCATTACTGGTGATGATATGTGGTGTCACCACTAGAAGCCAGAGTCAACATTACAGTTAATGAAGTGGTGACATGTGAATTGGCTGTTGAAGAAAAAGTTCAAGATGCAGCCCTCAGCAAGTAAAGTGATACACTGTCTTTTGGGATAGGAACGAGGTGATTCTTCTGAGTTTCATGGAATGTGGACAAACCATTGACTCTGACCACTACATCAATCACAACACTGACTAAGCTGAAGGCTTGAACTTCCAGAGCCAGGCCAGAGAGGAAGACAGCCTTTCTTTTGCAATGTGGTAATGCCAGGCTGTAGCAGTTGGAAGGCTGTAGATCACGTTGCCTGTCTTGGCTGGACTGTCCTAACATACCCACCATATAGTCTGGATTTGGTTCCTTCTGACTTCATCTGTCAGGCCACTGAAAGATGGATTGTATGGGCAACATCTTTCTAGCAGCAAAGCCATCACAGCAGCTATGAAACAGTGGGTCACCTCTGCTGGTGCAGATTTTTTATGAGCATAGCATGCAGGCTCTTGTTCATTGCTGGTGAAAATGCATAGGTAAAGGTGGTGACTGTGTTGAATAAGTGTTTTGTAGCTGAGAATTTGCTCTATCAAACAATGTTATTGTGGTTTTGTATCTGTTGTAGTTTCCATGGAATTAAATGGGAGGCAATGCTTTCAGAGCAACCTATGTATAGTAGATGTAAGAGCATGCATTACACCATGAAAACAAAAAGAAAAATTGATCTGGGTGTATATTGAAATTCTGAAAGCTTCAGTGACTGTGGAGGAAGTAAAAAATCTTTATGTAGGGTTCACATTAGATGGGCAGAATTACAGAGGGTCAATACCTCCCCAAATGCATTTAAATAATACTGACATTCAGTTTCTTTTAATTTATTGCAAACATTAAGTCCAGTGGAAAGAACAAAGTTGGCAAAGCTGAAAAACTGAGATTACAGAAAGAAGAGGAGGAAAGGAGGCTGAAAGAGGAAGGTACTGTGCACTTCATTTACAAGGAATGTGATGACAGTCATTTATTTTAATTAAACAGAAAGAAGTCACCTGCTGAGCTGTAGTGCACTGTTGTTAACATTGTATTTAAAAAAATGCCTTTCTCTTCTTTTGCGTGGGTCTAATTCTGTGTTACTTCTTACTGTCTTCCCCATCTCACTTTCCTGTTAGAGCCATACTTTTTCCTGTAATTACTTCTGCTGTGATTAGGAGCCTGGGGATGAGAGTGTCAGGAAGAGTTAGATTTTTTTCCTCTCTCTTCCCATTACATTTTGAAATATTCTCAGTGGGATGGAAATGCAGTGTTCTATGCTTTTCTTCTCTCAATCCTCATTATCAGAAGGTAAGAGAAATTCTCTGAAAAGGCCTTTTTCAGAGAATGCTGACAGGGTACACCTATTGTCAGGAGCTAGCTGGGTGTCTGCTACCCCTTTGCTATCCTCGTGGCAGTTAAAGCTGTGATCAGAGTCGCTGATCCTAAGGAGAACTGACAGCCATTGAGACATGCCTAAAAACTATTTCATTGAATAAACATCTGTAAGATGGAGTTTCCATCAAAGGATGTAGGAAAGCAGAAGAGTAGCTGGAAACTGAACCACTCAGGTGGTTTCACAACAGACATCGGATTAAGATCCTAGGCCTACTCAAGCTGTAGGGATGGGAAGAGGGAACATCTATTGTTGTTTCTGAGGGGAATAAGGCAGCCTGCTGATTCCTTTCTGCACTTTCTTTGTCATGGACTGATTGGGGTAGTGCTGTAGTAGTGGGTTTTAGTGCTGTGATTCAAATGAGTTTATCTAATCTCATTTGGAAGATTCTGGGTAATATCAGATATGTTGCTTCTTATTATACTTGTTTTGTCATTACAGCTAATAAGAAAATAATGTGTCTGGTTCTATTAAGCAAAATGTAATTGTGCTCTTGATGTATTTCCCGAACTTCAGAGGAAGCCCGACTGCAAGCTGAACAAGAGGAAGCAGCTAGACTTGAAAAGGAGAGGATTGAACGGGCGCGTATGGAAAAGCTTGAGGCAAAAGTTAGTTCATAGGCAATAGTGACTGCAAAATGCTAATTCCATTTCTAAACATGTGACAAGATCTGTCAAACATTAGCAATTTAGTGTGAGAATGAAAAGGAATTTTCTTTTCATTAGTGTTGGAAAGCAAGGAATTTTTCTAGCATCACTAGATTAAAGTCACAAAAGCAAGCCACTGAAAATTGGAAGGGTGCAAACCAAGAGATAATGCTTAAATAAAGCACAGTACAAGTGCAATCAAGATAAATGGTGCTGTAGTGGTACTATGTTGTATTCTTTCTCTAAGGCAATGTTTGGCTTAGTGTTGCTTGGTTCAGAAAAATTCCCTAAGGCAAGGTATTTTTGTTACATAAAGGTATTGTGGTTAAATACGTTAACTTTGGGGATATGTCATACTCCAGTTTGAAGAAACAATTATTTTTATCAAAATTCCCCTCTAGCTTAAATTGAATAATTTTTTCATGTTCCCCAAAATTTTGTGTTGCGTCTGTTTTGAGATTTGTATTGTTTTTTCTCATCAGTAAAAGCCACTCTTGCCTGTGCATCTTTGTCCTTCACCCAGTGTTTTTTCCCTTACACAAAAGAAAAAATAAATAAATCGTAGAAATTGTAAGGAAAAAAAACCCACAAAACATCTTGCATTCTTTTTTCAACATGTGCTTACATTTTCTATCAGCTCTTGTTAGAGGTAGTTCTAGGATGATGATGATGATGTGAAAACTGTTGATGTGTAAGGATAACAGTCATATGACGTGTGCTTGTCATATGGCCCAGCAACTAATGTGGTGGCAATAACATATTGCTAACTATTGCAGCCTTACAAACTTAATGCTTCTTAAAAAAGCAATGTTTGGATTTGTTTAAATAGTAGCTCACTCAAATATTCCAGTTTATTTTCTTTGATAGAAAATGCTTATAAGAAGGGGGAGAAAAGTTTAATCCCTCTGCTTGATATACAAATATTTTATCAGGATCAAGAACGAAGGGAAGTTGAACTAGCTGAACTTAATTCACTGGAAGAGAAGTTTGTGTGTGCACAAAGGTGGAAAACAGAATTTAGAGCTTATACAAAGGTAAGTTTTCGAGTTCTGCCCACTGTCATAGAATTTAGACAACACAGAGGCTTTAGGCTATGTCTGTGTTATAGGACCTACGAATACTTCCATTTCTTGAATTCAGGTATGGTGTGACAGCTGCCTCTCAAGTTCCATGTCAAGGTAGGAATTTGCCCTCCTCGCTCTCCTTTTTGTACCTTGTTATACATGGAAAAGAAACATGACAGTGAGGAGGCTGTAGGGGTGATTAGGGCCCATAGCTTATGTCAGCAGTAAGAACGATGTCAGTGGAGCAGAAGTATCTTACCACATTAATGTGAAAATAAGCCATTTCTTTCTGGCATAATGATGATGGTGGTACAGGTAGCATTACAGTCCTATTTAGACACAGATGTGAATCACTAAATACATTTGTCTTTCAGAATCCTTCTTGTCATAACTGTGAAAGTCATTTGCACTATGTGCCCGTATCTACTTTCCTTTTATACTTTTTCTGTAGTGGGAACATTATATTGCTTGTGATGGAAATCCTGACCCAACTGTACTGCAGGAAATAAATACTTTCATGAACCTATGGCGCGAAGATCAAAATAAGGACATTCAATCTGTGATGGAGAAGGGAGAACAGGTGCTAAATGTAAGTGTTAAATGTAAGTGGTATTCTTCAGTTTAAGTTCACTAAATAAATATATCCTTAATACTGCTCATCAGTACCCTCTTCCCCCCCCTTTTTTTTCCAAAGATTGAAATCAGTTATAACCTTCAGCTTCCTTTTTTTCCTCACCTAATTTTTTTTTTTTTAATTACAAATTTATTGTTATATACAATACAAATATATTGTTATAAGTATAAAGAAGACTATAGACTTTAAGCATGCTGTGTATTTAAGGGACCTCTGTGTAATGTTTCCACACTGAGCTCTTCCATGCTATCTACATTTTAAAAAGTCTTGAGCCAGCTAGAAACGGGGTGAAAGTTGCTTGCGTATTACAACTTCTGCTGGATTGCTTTTGTTTTGCATGTTAAACTTCCCTTCCAGTAATGCTTGCTGGATGCTAAGATTTTCATCTGCCAAATATTGCATTCTTCTGAGCCAGCAAGGAATATGGTAGGCCTTTCCAAAAACACCAACAGCTAACAGGGTCCCTGCAGGTATTCAAGGCCAGGCTGGATGGGGCCTGGGGCAGCCTGACCTTGTGAGCAGCAATCCTGACCAGAGCTGGGAGGTTGGAACTGGGTGGGCTTTAATGCCCCTTCCAACCCAAGCCATTCTGGGATTCTATGATTCTATGGTTCTGTGAATGTCATGAATTTCTCTCTTACACTGCAACCCAAGCAGGACATACAGCAGTTGCTCACTTCCATTCCTTCTCTCCTGCTGCCATGTCTTTCCCCTGACATACTTCTTCCTCACTCCTCTGTGTTTCCCATCCAACACTGAAGAGCTACAGCTCTTTCACATCCTGCAAAAGTATTCTTACCCTACACTATAAGATCAGTAGAGTATTATGTGATATTGAAAGACAGGCATTTTCATTTTGCCCCCACTGGAAGTCAGGGTGATGTCAGAGAGTGTTAAAAGAGTGGCTGTCTTCTCATGGTGCAAAACGTTTCATAGAATCATAGAATGGCTGGGTTGGAAGGGACCTTTAAGATCATCTGATTCCAACCCCCTGCTATAGGCAGGGACACCTCCCTCTAGACCAGGTTGCTCAAAGCCCCATCCAGACTGGCCTTGAATGATTCCAGGGAGGGAGCATTCAGAACCTTACTGGGCAACCTGTTCCGGTGTCTCACCACCTTCACAGTAAAGAATTTCTTCCTAATCTCTAGTCTAAATCTACCCTTACAGTTTAAAGCCATTTCCCCTCATCCTGTCACTACATGCCTTTGTAAAAAGTCCCTCCCCAGCTTTCCTGTAGGCCCTTTCAGGTGCTGGAAGGCCATTATAAGGTCTCCTGGCAGCCTTCTCTTCTCCAGGCTGAAGAGCCCCAGCTGATCGTCTTTGTTGCCCTCCTCTGGAGTACCCCAGCAGCTCCATGTCCTTCTTGTGTTGGGGGCTCCCAACACGATGTGAGCATTTCTTTCCTGCTCTGTACTTGTTTCTGGAGTAAAATTCTAAACACTCAGGGCTGTGAGAAGCTGTAGATCAGCAGCTCCTAACTGATAGGGACCGAGTGAAAGGTGAAATCTGGACGGTGACAATGCTAGTTTTGCTATGCTGTCAGTGAGTGGTAGCACTGCAATGCCTCAGGTTAAGAGGGAAAACAGTCTGGCAAAGCTGGTAGGGAGGCATGAAATATAATCTGGTTGCCTTTCTCAGTGCTGCAGATCTGGGTGAAGAAGAGTGGTATGTAAGATGCCTTTGTAGTGATAGCTCTCCTTTGCTTTGCTATGTTAGTTAGCATACAGCAATTTGGGTGTGTTTTTTGAAGTGTTTCATAGCATCAGTTAAAATATGTAACAGTAGCACGTGTGATCAGCTTACCATGTCATTCATAGCTGATAGCAGCTGCTGATGATTGTCATTAAGCAGAACAGACTAGTTAATATTTCCAGTTAGAGTTAATATTTCACCGTGACAGCTGTTGAGCAAGAAATAGGTCATATACATAAAGTGAAGCAAGTTATTCTTCTCTCTGAGCAGCATCTGTTGACGTGAATAGGTGTACTTTGTGAATGGGGAGTGAATAGTAATAAAAATTCCATCAAGAAGTCTGAAATTTAATTTTACTAGACAGTGTGTTAATAAGTGCAGTACCTTTTTTTCCTGTCATAGATCAGTGTCTTTAAAACTTCAGCCAAATAGGAATTTTTTAGTCTCACACACTCGTTTAAAAGTTCAGATATTGGCATGCATTGGAAGACAACAGTGTTACCATGGAGTCCAAACTTCACACTAAGGATTATTCTCAGAATTAAAGCATAATTGCTGAATGGCTCAGTATTATATTTTTTCTAGATTTCAAAGCTGAGATTATTGATGCAGAAAATTTGTTTCAAAAATAGGTCTGTAAGCTTTTCATGAAAACTAATTTTTGGCCAACAAGACATGACAAACTGGTTCAACATGTGGTCTGTTTTATGAGCTAAAATTTCACAGTCTCCATGTTGAGGAATGGGGGAATTGGGCTGGAGGAATGAAGGAAGGCAGACTTGACCTGGAGTTTCCAGCATTTTGCATGGTTGCCTGTCTATGCTGGTTTAGTACAATCTCAATACATACGATGAATTATCTCTGCAACAAAGATATGCCTAGATGCAAAAGAAGCAAATCTGCCTCAGTTTTTATGACAGAACACCCTGTATGGCAGGATTGGTTACAAAACAGAGATATTTTTCTCAATACGATGTCTTATAGTTAATTGAGAAGTTGCAGTTTCTTTTGTTGGACACACCACCAAGTGAGATTACTGAAAAAGAAACAGCTCAATACCAGGAAACGATTCTGGAATTGGAGGATCTTCTTCATCAGAAGTATAATGAAGCAACAGAACAGCTGCTTAAAGTAAGTAAGATTTACTGCTTCCAAGTTGCAATACATGCAGTGCATGGAAATTCTGTTTCAAGTTTTTTGCTGTGGTGGTTGTTCTTGGTGTTCTGTTTTGTTTCCTTTCTTATATTGTGACACAAACCATGTATGGAACAGCTACCAGACCTCAAATCTTCTGCGAATCTTAGCTTTCCTTTTGAAATTGCTACCATTAAGGCATTTAATATTCCATTACTGTGATTTTAGGAGATGTTGGAAGCAAGGAGCTCCCTATGAAATTTGTTTCCTTTTGTCTCCATGAGTTGAATTAGAAGTTGACTGACTGCACAAAAATATGCAAGTGTGAAAAGCGGGTCATAAGTTTTGACAAAAAATGTCACCTGTGCAGTAAGGACTGTCGAAAAATATCATCTGTGCAGTAAAGCATAGGACTGCTTTATTACTCAGTAAACACTGTTTTTTTAAAAAACTTGCACTGAGAAATATGAAACAAACTATTAATGAAGACAGGCAGTCCCATTGAAGGGGATGACATAAGAACTCATATCTGGTGGTATTTTCATTGACAGAGTTGACGATGTCTGAGGAAGAAAAGGTTTTAGCAAAGAGATCTGAATTTATAACTTGGCATGTTCTAGTACATAAATAAAACTTAGCTGAGCTTGGTCTGCTGTCATTTTTTGCTCCTATGTGTCATTTTTTTAATTTACTCCACTGTAGATTTAAGTAAGTCCAAGTAATGTAAGTAAGAAGAGAACATGATTTCATCTGCTTTCTTCTTTGTAGTCAGCTATTATGTATGAAGATTCTGACACCGGAAATATGCAGACAGTCATAAAGGATAAAAATGTTACTTTCTGTATTTGGGCCAATCTGAAGAAGAAAGCAAGGTACAGCATGTTGAAATTCTTAATTTACTTTGAGACTTGGCTTTGTCTAACCAAGTCAAGCACTCCAAGAACAAGTTTCTTGTAATTGTTTTCATGTTGAATAGGATATTTTCTACAGCCTTCCAGCTTCCTAAGCTGTCTCAGTTTCTTACGAAGTGGTGTATGATGCTTTGCACTCTGTTCTCAGTAATGATAAAAGAAGATAGAATTTGGGCTGGGAATATCCTCCACAGTCTGTTCTGAATTTACGTTTTTTTATTAGATTGCCATTTAACTGATACATTTTTCAAAACAAGTTTCGAAACAACATTTTTTTTCTTTGAGCAGACTTCCCACTCCCAGCCTGAAAATAGGAGATAGATTTGGTAAATGGCCTTTGCCTTGACTGAGGACCTGCTGCTATAAGCATTGCTAACATAGCTGCAAGGCTGGGTCTTGAGCAAAGTCAGACTGACTGGCAGCATGTGCCCATTGGAGTTTGTGTCTGCCACAAACTGGCTTCCTGTGCTGCTCTCAGCCTGACTCCTGGGCTGTTACAAGGATTGGTGGGTGTGCAGTGCTGCTGCTGACCAGAATTGTCTTTGTATTTCATATGGAAGATGCTGAGACTGATGTAACTCAGACAGCAGTGATTTCACCTGTTTGGGACTTTGCCCATTAAATTAGTCTGTTTTAGCAGAAATGTCCTGTGTAGAACAACTGTCATCTGATTCTGCTGCATTCTCTTCCTATTGGGAACGTTACTTTTTGGCAACTCCTGATCCCTTTAATGCCTTTACAGGTTTTCTGGAGGAGCATACAGACAGCTGTCAGTACAGGACAGGAGGTGCAGTGTGACACCCATTTCATACACTGTGCCATGTGGCAATAGAGAATTTAGGTGACTTCTTTTAGTGTAGAACATCAACAAGAATAGGCATGAGAAAATGTAAAAATGAGTCCTGCCCATCTTACTAGGGAACTTCTTTTTCTTTAACTTATGTACAGATTCAAGAATCATGTCTTCTGTGACACACATCATGGATTTGATCTTCCAAAGTCACTGGCTGTGAGCAGCATTGCTGTTCGCATATTGCACACCCACTATGACCACATATCTCCACTTTGGCTGCAGTGCCAGAGAGTGCCAAGATTGGAAGTCTTAGATAGCGAAGAGTTGACTCAGCATTCACAAGACAATGCAGGAGAACCAGAAGAGGAAAAGGAAGCCAGAGAGGAGCCCAAAGTACAGAGTACTACTGAAGAAGAAATGCTTCCTGTTGAGAGAAATGTAGGTAAATTAGCTCATGAAAGAATGTTCTACAGCACTGTTCCACTGGAGACCCAGCTGCTGTGTGATTGCTTCTTAATGTGCCCTTTACCTAAGATAACAACTTTCTGAAACTTCTAAGGATAAAGACAACTTATGTTAACACTGCGTCATGAATCAGATGATGGAAAAGTGAATGACCAAAGACTGTCCTAAAAATGGTAGAAGGGGAAGTTTTGACAGGACATAGCAGTTGTTGTCTGTTGGCATGCAAGAGTTGGCATTTGGTTGGCATTTTATGAGCAGGATCAAGTAGTGACAATTGTCAGGCATTGTTGTAAGGCATTTGCTGCAGTCTGTGATGTATATCAAGATGAATATATTCTGTATCCCATAAATTGGCAGCCCCATAAAATAACTGCAAGAATGTAATATTAGGAAAATCAGAAGAATGCAAAATAGGATTCACACACTGGAGCTTGGTTGTGCAGTTTACTTGTTCAGTTCCTGTGTGTTGATGTTTTTGCCACTAGAGGGCTTTCAAAATCTGTTTCTGACTGTTGGAATCTTTACAGTCTTCAATTGTGTGATGGCATTTGGTGTTTCTTGGTTGGTTTTTTTGGTGTTTTTTTTTTTGTTGTTGTTGGTTTTGGTTTTTTTTTTTTTTTGCTATTGGGTTTGGGTTTTTCACTTTTGGTATCATCTGTGACCTCCAGATAAATGACTTGACCAGTGCCTGGAATCCCATTTTTCTTGCTTTTTTGTATGACAAGACTTATCCATTGGCAGTTTTCACCTATGTTTTTCAGTCCTACTTAGAATTTCACTGCTTCTATTTTTTTCCAGGTCTTACTCTTTTTGTCTTTTTTTTGTGCATTATCATGTTCTCTTTGAAGCCTCCACTTCTCTCAGCCACTGCAGTCACTCCTTCTGTCTGGCTCAGCCTTCAGCTCCCCCACATTTATGTGGGTAACACCTTCTCCCCTTCCAGCCCAGGTCAGGAGGTGCGTGCTCTGCCTGCTCCAGGCAGGCACACGATGGCACTCAGGAGGTGCCTGTGCCTCCACATGCATGGTGTGTATGCTGAAATGTTACTGCTTATTGCTGTGCTTCCAGAAGAGTCAGCTATGCCAGGGATGAAATCATATCTGGACTGGAAATTTGGCTGGAAATCCAAGGTGATGTTTTGGAAACAGAAAACAGTATGAGAGGGAGTAAGTATCACAGGCAAGGCACAGACTGAGACTGTAAGCTGAGGTTCTGGCAGAGTTATCAGTGTGGCTTTGGATTGAACACTGGGTTCAGTTTTCTTTGTGGCACTCTTTAGCTCTAAAGTCAGCGTAAATGTTAGTTTTGAGTACACGCACTACTAAAAAAAAGATTGGATGCTTGACTAAATGCTGATGGTGGATTAAATGCTGGAGGTGGAATTTGAAATTAGAACAATTATGTTTATCTCTATTTACACATTAAATTCTAAAATTGAGGGGTACCTTCAATAAAATTTATTTTTCCCAGGTAGGTAAAAAGGATTTTCCCTAAAACCTTAACCCTGTGGCAAGATCAGTGCAAATACTGCTGCAGGAGTGGAGCTGTACTCTTTCACTTTGAGCCACTGTTTTAAATGAAGTGATACTCTCTTTTTTTATTGTGTGTCTCTATCTAATTAAAAATCTTTTGCTTTTTATATAGAGTGCTATTTCACTTAGAAGAAATACAAATAGCATAACTGATATAAATAAGGTGATAGAAGAAGAAACTGAGAAGAAATCAGAATGCTTTGATATACCACCAGAAGGTACTGTGTTCTTATTTGCAACACTATGACAGTGCTTATTCTAAATGTCTTGTTGACAATATGGAAGGATGGTGATACAGATCTCCACTGGAATAGAACAAAGTTTGTAACTATACTGCTGTCTTGCTAATGGGAGTCTTGTTGACATTTCTGTTAATGATTACTAAAGACAGGGAGAAAACTGGACAAAGAGGCAAATGGCAAATAGGCAAACCCACATAGCCACTTTTGGGAGGAGTCTGAAAGGACACTACTAAGTTACCACAAATCCAATGACAACAGGCAGCCAAGGGAGGAGAGAGGAAAATAGGAGAGGGCAGCAGTGAAAACAGCAAGAACTTTTGCAGGTTATTATCTGGATTTAACTTAGTTGTACCAGTGTTAAGAAGTTAATTTAGCTTGGAAAAATTAATAGCTTTGTGTAGAAGACATTTAAACATTACTGTATGGTAACATTCTTTCTTCTGCAACATCTGGTACAATGGTTTGCGTTGTTTCACTTAAGTGCCTTTTGTTTTCCTCAAATACCATCTACCTTTCACCTTCAGCAGGTGGCCTGTAGTTGCATTATATCTTTTTTATTTCTCTTATTCGTCATCTCGCCAATACAATCTTAGTGAACTTGGCCAGAATTTACTGTTTTGTACACCTGTGAAATTCTTCTGTGACTAGCGATGCATTCGGTTTCTGTCACTGGAACTGTGTTCCTGTATGAAGCACTTTGAGTTGACTACAAAGTGTGAGTAGAGATTAATCTTCAGAGCACTCAGTATTAAAACACAAGAAATGCTTTTCATAGTCCAGCAGTCCTCTTTCTGTTTCTCAGCTGTTAATGGATATGTGGCACACCAGTAGGTGGAGCTGAAATGCCACAGAAGGGGAAGCACCTCAAGCACATGATTTCTGGTGCAAATGCAAAAAATAATAGAAGCATGAAATTTCAGTGGCTTAGTTTAAGCACCATGATAACTCACTTTGCTTGGTTATTATGTAGTTCAAATTCTACAGATGCAGGAAAAGACCAGTGAAGAAGAAGAGATGATAACTGATGAAAACACTGTTGATTTGCAACAGTTTGTCCCTGTGGGTGGTGTATACCACATCGATGGGCTACAACTTCCACCTCAGGTCCAGCAAATCAACAGCTGGAGTGTGGTGGAGGTAAGTGAGGAAACATTGCATCTCATGCAGCCTTCTTCCCTGCCATCCTCAGAGAGCCATTCCTCAGAGCTGGCACCAGGGCATACACACAGTTTATACACATGTTGATCTCTTGAACAGTTGATTAACTGAAGTTCCAAAGTTGAGAAATCATGTTTTCAATTAGACTTGGTCAATTTTTGCAGCAGCTAAGATAAACAAATGTGCATACAGTAAGGTGTGCACTTGGTCCCTGCTCACTAGCACAGCTAACACAGATAACTTAAATTGTTGTGCTGGAAAATGCTCTTGGGAAGAAAAATTTATTTTTTCATATGCGAAAAGTATATATAAGGAAAGATGATAGGAGTATTTAGCAAATCCACTTTCGGGCTCCACAAGATGTTTGTGATCAAATGGGTACAAATGGTGAATGTGTCTTTTTTCTCCCACATGTAGATCCTCTCTCAGAGTTTTTAATTGTGAAGATAAAAACAACATGTGGAATGTATGTACACGCTAAAGAAAGCAGGACTGTGGGCAGATTGGCAAGGCTCTCATGCCTCACATTCACATTTGACCTCTTTCATTCCTTTTGACACTGTTCAGACATACTGAAGTTGTCTTGGCTTTTACCTGCTAGGTGCCCTTGTTTGTTTTGGAGACTTTAGCTCTATTAAATACTTTCACTTACCACATAGCACTGCCTGAAAGGGCCAATGGAGCACATGAAGGGTGACTACCAGTGGACCCTTCTACTGCTTCCACCACTGTAGTTCCAATGAAGGGAAATATGCACTGCAGCAGAACTTGTACCAAATGCTACTACTACTGTTTCACATTAGTGCTTGGTAAAAGTCTAGCAAAACACTTTAGCAAGAGGATGTAATAAGGAAAAATATTTGTTAGAGATCTGCAATATTAGCACACCATTTATACTAGTAAATTTGAAATTGTATGTCATAAAGACCTACAGGTGGTTAGGTGGATTTCAGTCAGTTCAGGCTATTTCATTTTCTGATAAAACATTTTGTCTGTTCTCTTTCTCTTTTGTCAAAGTTAATTGATAGTGGCTTGGAGGCATACCCATATCCCCCAGAAAAGTCTGAAGATACCACACATCCACCAATTCAGATAACACTTGGACTTCCTGACAGCGTGATCTACTGGAAGGAACCTGTGGTAGGCCGGTGGGATCCTGCAGGTACCAAGATAAAATAAATTCATTTTGTTTGGCTAATGGAATTTTTACCTGAGTTTGAATCTTTTAGAAAACTACCTAAATGTAAAAACCAGTTCAGAGCTAAGAACTACTTTAAAGACTTGAGTTTGTAGAGTCATTTTTTTTCTTGGTTCTGCTTTGCTCCTATATTGTGTGCAGTCAAGAACTGCTTTGAGGCTTTTGATATTAATAGAAAAAACCTGCACTATTTAATGGGGCAGCAGAACACCTCCATAGCACAAATCAAATTTTGCTAGGATGAAACCTGCTTTGAGCCACATTAATCCCTACCATACATGTTACTTCAAAATTTTGAAGTTAAAAACAAATGTGATATTCAGTTATTAAAATCTGACTTCACAAAAATAGGCAGAAACTATTAAGGTAGTTTGATGGCTGAAGTTACTGTTGAAGATAAGATTGCAGACTGCTGTTACTATATCAAAAGCAATAGTTAGATTAGTAGATGTTGTTCTTTTGAGTTTAAGGAGAATCTATAATATCAGGATTAATCTAATTTTGTATTTGTTAAACTAAGGAAAGCTTTTACCCTAAAACATTAGGCAGAATGTAAAGAGAATTATCTCAACTCCTTCTGAATACAAGGAGCTTTATGTGTACAGCTTTTTCTTTTTGCCTCTCTTTTGTAAAGGCCAACAGTGGAGAACAGATGGCATCAACAACATAACATACGAAATACAGGAAGAAATCATCACTTTTGAGATAGATGCCTTTTATACAATAGCATTTCTCCAGGACATTCATCTCAACATGCCCTATCAGGCATGGGAATTGCGACCCACCAGTACAGATGAAGCAGTATTTGTAATTACTACAGTCTTTGCAGAGGTTCAGATGCAAATTAAGGTACTGTAATTTAGTTATTTAATATAAAAGACTTGTAGGCTTTTTTTGAAAATAAATATAGAGTTATCATGCTGTCCCTTGTTAAGAACTGTACGTGCTTCTACAAGAAGAACATGAATTTCAGTCTTTCTCTGTTGAAAATAAGGATAAGGAAGGATTCTCCTCATTTCCAAGCATTAATTCAACCAAAATTACAGGTGACTTAGATTATTTTTGGTGAACTGGTCAGAACAAAGCATCTGTTGTGCAACATTCCAATAAAATTCTTTGATATTGATACTACTTTAGCAAAGTCAAAACTGCTCCACCAGTTGAAAAATCGCTTCTCTCTCCTCCAAACTATGCCAAAAGAAATAAAAACATTTTAAACAACCTATGTTTTATGCTACTCATTCCTTCCAAAGGTTCAAATTATGCACAATTATTCATATTCCTGTTGACATATAAATCGGTTATAATCATATATGTTACTGAAAAGTGAGTGTGACTGTAAGTATGGGGCAGTAAAGTGGCTTTCTGCAAGATCTGTGAATCAAGATCTAAAGATCAGGGTGGTATTTAATGTAGGCCAGTATCCAGAATAGTTGGGAGGCAATAAATAGTCGATTGCCTGAAGCAGAAAAATACCTTTTTTCACCAGTAAAATGCTTTCATTGGTTTACACGACAGGGTAATCAATGTATGCTGGCTGCAGTAGTGGTGGAAGAGAAGAACGTGCTTTCCCATTTGATTGGACAATGGATGTGCCCAGTCACCTTAAGAAGAGCTTTGAAGAAGAGTGGTCTGAATATTTTCCCAGAAGAGTATTCATACAAGTATGTCTGTTTGAAGAAAAAGGTGCGTGCAATCAAGTAGTTTTGCCTTTTTTTTTTCCCTTACACATCTTCATGTAGGCATTTTCTTGTAGCAAGTTGTATAGAGGCAGCAGGCATAGCTGGGAGTGGCAGCTTAACCCAGTGTCTGCTTAAAGAAAGCTTTTTTTTTTTTTAAGCTTTATTAGGCAGAAAAAATGATGCTTTTTTTTTTTTAAACTCTTTATTACAGGCTCCCCTAACAGAATTTAGGGCATATCAACAAATGGCTCTGGTTGCATCTGCTTTTGCTTTTGGCTGGAGCAAGTGGAATCTGAAATCAGGTCAAGATCAAGTAGTGTTCAAGGTTTGTAGCATTAGACCAAGTTTCCAGGGACAAACCAGTATAGAAACATACCACACAAAAGCACAGATGATGGAAGTTGTTTCTGTCTCAGTCTTCAAGCCCTGTCCTGATCTATATACACAGGACATCAGTTCTAAGATTTCAGGTTGGCTATTTAAGGTAAAAAAAACAAACAAACAAGAGCACATCTGTGTTCTGCAGAACTTCAAAGCCTGCTTCACAACTCCTGCATTTGTTAGGAACAAGCCTGAGAGCTGTAATGGTTCAATTCTCAACAACAAAGGCACTTACTAATGTGCTAAGAGGTACAGCTGAAACAGGCCAGCTACTAGGGCTTCAGCTGAGGCTAGGAGACACAGGTAGATGATTTTTCATAAAGTAACCTATAAGAAGGTCCTCTGAATTACCATCCAGTTAATACCTAGAAGCTGCTTCTCAGCTTCATAGGTGTTTTCATTTGTTCTGTACTGTAAAGAAGGGAACACAACTTGATTTGTTTCCTCACTGAATGGCACATACTTAAAACTTCTCCCAGACAGAGAAATATCTCCATTTCTATCTGTAGGTATAGAACATACTGTTGAAATGCTGAGAAGTTCTCCCACCCTTGAGTTAACATTTGTATGAATGTCACATGCCTTTAAGCCCACTACTTAATCTAAGCAGAACAGAAATAAAATGATGCCCATTGCAGCTAGCTATTCTTTATGTATGAGCCGGAACATCAAGAAAAGGCAGTGACCAATACTTGCAGTTTACAGAGGCAAACCATGGCGTTGATGTTATTCTACACAATCATTTAGGTAAAGACCTAATGTTACATTGAGAGTTCAAAAAAAGCCACTGGTTTTCTGTAGTAAACTCAAACACATACTAGAATTAGTCCTCTGTCAGCTTTATCTTACAGCCCATTTTTTCCTGCATCAGGTAAGTGAACATCTTAAAGCAGATTTTGTCAAAGATGAAGACTGGTCTCTTTACATGTTTAATGGTCAAAGAGCACAGAAGCTCAAGATCACTGAAGCCAGTGAAGCTTTTTCAATGGAACTAGAAGAAGATTCTGAATTTCACTCCACGCTCTACCACATGCTGAAAGATTTTGCCAGCAAAGAAGCAATTGATAAAGTGAATACAGCTAACTTTCTGTTTGTTGATGTTGTCTATCAGCTGCTCCTTGCTACGAGAGTTCTAACATACTCTTAAATACTTCATGCTTTCATTTAAAACTTTATTATCAAAAACTTCCAATAAAGTCACATTTCAAGTCTTCAGTCTTTTTCTATTCAAACTATTGGAACAGCTTTAATGACTAAAATGTAACCACTGCATTTTTGTTAAAATAAGTTACGTATTCGCTTGTGGCTGGACCATTTAGTCATATTTATTGTGAGCCACATTCAAAATCACTACCTGTTTTATTCTAAACCTGAACAGAACTAAGACCCCCCCACACCCCATTACTTGAAAGTTAACTTTTGCCAGAATGAGAAGAAAAAAGTATTTTTCAAGTCATGAAAAAACAAAAACACAAAAAACCCTCAAAATGCCCACAACCCAAACCATGACCTTAAATATATTACCTATCTCAGTGTAGCTTCTCATACTGTCAACTAGAATTCAGACGCATAACTTCACACAGGTCCAAACCTTGGTTATACTGGGGGCGGTCCATTGTGTTGAAGTCCTGTATATGGCCACAACAGTTGCTGTAGTGAAGTCCAGGAGTCCCCTGTTCCTACAGGTGCTGCATCTGCTGGTCGTTGAAGAGACAACCCAGTGAGGAAGCTTGTAAAAGCAGCAAGCAGTACCAGGATGGACACGGAAACCCAGAGAGTTTTGTTAGCGTTGGAAAAGGAAGTCTTGAAATGGGATGCCCACGATGACACAAAATTGCACCTGCAGAATACAGTAAGTCATGTAATGGTTCCTTCCATTCTTCTTCAGAACTTGGAATTCCTCTCCCAACCCTCATCCTTAAACAAAAAAAAACCCACAAACCAAAAACTCCCACATACCAAAAAATAACACAATAACTCAGCAAGACAGTAAACCAAGATTTGAAGAAGCACGTACATCATTATCACAGGTGTCACATTGGAAGCTTTGCACAATGCTAGCTGACATTCTGCAGATCAGTAAGTTTTTGATGCAGTATTTAGGTGACACACCTGACCCATAAGCCCACGTCAGGCAGCTACCTGCTCCATTCCACACTATTTCTGAAGAGGATTCACAAACGCTGCCTTGCAGATTGTGAAAAATTCTATGTTTCACTGCTTACCAGGACTTTGATGCCTCCCATGAAATTAGGGAATAGTCCTTTTCTTTCCCACTTCCCCTCCCCCCCCCCCTTAAAGCTCTCGTGAAATTGGGAACATGTATTCTTTGTCCAACAATAGAACGAAAGTAAATGTATTGTTCTTGCTGTCTTTCCAATTCTACATGCTAGCATGCAATTATCTCCTCGCCCAGGAATGCTCAAACCATAGGTTTAGCTTTGGATATTCATGCAGTTTTTCCTGTACAGAGCACTTGATTCCTTTCCTGCAGGGAGGAGTTTAAACTTAGGGGCTTTGAGAGGATTCTTCTTGAGGACAGCCCTCTTTGACCTGGGAGACCCAGAGAAATTAGCTGCAATAATCTAGACTTGGTGGTGATAACTGCTTGTCTCTCAGTTTGTGCCAAAACTGAGAAGTGCTAAGTGTTGCACAGGCCTCAATAAAAAAAAAAATCCATGGCTTTTTTTTTGTGTGTTTTTAAAATGAGAGTAGATGTCACAAGCCCCAGTAGCTCAGAGCTCAGCTATAAATACAGGCACAGAGTAGTAAATCAAAGTAGGATAGCAGCATGAAGCTCCCATCTATCTCCCCATTACCTTCCCATTTAAGGTTCCTAACGGATCCCTAAGGAGGTGAGTCTGGCATCTGATGCTATTCATTCCTGGTTAGTTTTTTCAGCAGTCAATATTGAGAACCAAACCCAAACCTACTGCTTTGGTTTCTCTTCCCACAGCCAACCACTGCTTTACCTCACAGCCATGTGAGGGGAAAAAAAGAAACTTACGCTGACTTCAGGTTCCATTTTGATGGACACTTTCCTTTTTCAGAGGTACTTTCCTTTCTTGATAGTTGTTCTTGCATTTCAGCAGGCAATTCCAGCTGCTCATTTCTATAAGCAAACAACAGTTCCAAAGCTTTTCCATCAAGCATTTGATTTGACAGCTCATAACATGGAGGGCATTTCCATAGAACTTACTTAGTTTCAGAATGTTCATCCTCATACTCTGTCCAGGAATAGGTGCTAATGAATCGCTGGAGGGAAGGACGCTTCTCATTTTGCCTTGCTCCTAGTCGTCCCCTGTCATGTTTGAAACACATTTGCCTTAATTTCCCACCAGAAACATATCATGAAATTACAAGCTTAGCAGCAGCCCACTCATTTGGTTGGGACTTAGACAAATAAGTTTCAAGATTAGTCACCTAAAATTAGGGATTTTTTGAAATTAAATCCAAATCCATTAACATTAGCTATCTGGTTTTCATATTTTAGTTCCAATGCAAGAGAATATAATTTTTCAAATAAGGGTTGAGAGATTTAAAAAAGAAAAGCTGCAGCATTTTGTCCCAAAAGCTCATTTACCTACTGAAGCACATAGAGCCAACGTGAAAGATGCAGCCTAATGTTATTATACCTCAGGATGCTCCAAAAGTTGCTTTATATGGGCACAGCTTGAGCTGAAAATTATTTAACCCTAAACAAAGAAGAGGCTGAGCAACTTTACCAACTGCTTGATCTCCTGTTGAATTTATCACTCCATTCGTCTCCACCTGTTTCTTGCAGTTGGGCCTAGAGAAGAAACGTAAGCCACTAAGTGCAGCTGCCTTTTCCCAGTGAAACTCAGCCACTTCTGAGAAGGGACACGTGCCTCACCACACAAGAGCCCTTACTTACCAGTGGCACCCCAACACCTGCATTTCCAGCGCTCCTGGGCAATGTTGCAATGCTAACTCTTCGTAAGGATGGTGATGGCTATATGAATAAAAGGCATTACTGGCTCTATCAAGGAACAACTGGATTACTCACTGAGTGCACAAGACACCATCTGTTTTGGCACAAACTGTGTAAAAACTCAACACTGATGCTTAGCTTTAAGTGACATACAACAAGAAATTAAATGATACACAGCCCCAAATGCATTTTATTTATTTATTTTTTTTAAATGCAGCATCTTTTCACATTAACCGCTTCTCCCCACCTAAGTATCTAAAGGGAGGCTGGGCACACAGCTTCCAGCAAAACACCAGAAGTGAATGCATTCCCTCACAGGAATTCCTCTAGTCAACAGGAGTTGAATTCATTTTTTCCATCTGTGCTAAACCTTTCTCTTATAATGCCAATGGATGAACCACATGTGAACAATATTTCTTAGCCACTACATGAGAATGGTCATTTCAGCTTCTGTGAACCCCTCATCTGCCCTAAGTGGGGCCAAATGCAGCTCCTTCGGGGCTGGAGAGAAAGGGGGAAATCAAGGCAAATGAGAAAATATCCCTGTGTTTGATGACATCAGCCTATATTTGAGAGAAAGCCATCATGTTAAGCACACACCACAGTGCCAGCACATGACTTGGTGAAGGAAACCACACACACAGAAACACACTTGACACTATACATTAAACTATAAGGGCCATACCTTGAAGTTAAAGGAATTGGGGAGCTTTTTGTTTGTAGATTCGTCTGTGAACAGATTAGACATAAGGAAGGTTTACACAAACGCAGCGAGTTTTAGTTGCAGCTAGAGGTCTGACTTTTTTTTTTGCAGTATCTGCTTAAGCAGAGAATACATCAAAATGCTCCCAGAAAGCAGAAATGAGATTTCAGGGGGGAAAAAAAAACCTCTATTTCTAGATAAGTTCTGAATATACACATATATTACACATCCTCTGCAAGGATCAATTCCTGTTGCTATCAGCATTTCTACCATTATCAAGTCAAACATTCTGTTTTAAGCCAATCTCTGCAGTCAGTTATGGCTTGTAGACAAAATTTAAGAAGAATAACCTGTGGTTCAGGCTCCGGAGAGGATTTTTAGCAGTGAACAAGTAAGACCACCTTATCTGCTCTTAAAATACATGCTTCATTTCAGAAGAAATTCACACTTCTCCTGGAAAAGCCACAAGTTCATGACACTGTCTGAAAACCCAACCACTCTACCATTTGCTGAATGGGGGAAACTCAGAGCACCTGCAATTCAGCAGCTGAAATTCAAATTTAGAAAGGAGCTGCAAGAATCTACAAAGTCAAAACTGAACTACATAGAATTAACTGCTGGGAATGCTGCAGGGTAAACAAGCATCTAGATGTACTGCTCAGAAGCAATAAGATCACCATCACCATACCCACTTGTGGAAAAGCCAGAACACCGCCACATCCTTGCAGTGTTTCTTCCCACTATCCCACAATTCCTAACAGTTTATATACAACTTTACTTATAATATAGCATTAGTGCACTGCTAATTTTTCCTCTAGAGGAAAGGAGATACATCAGTCATACAAACCTCTCTACCTAAGATGTTCAGCCTTAACTAGGCAGGTCTGCCTAGCAAACCCCAACAAGAGGAGGGACCAACCAGCTGGTTTGAGTTACCTCTATCTCCAAGAGAACAGAATGACCTCTCATTCTGGAGCAGGACCTGCTTCAGCTCCTCAAGTTCTGCATGTTCTTTTGCATACATGCGCTTCAGGTTTTCCACATGCTGAATCATTACTTCCACAGCCTTGCTGATACGGCTCTCCTGGCAGAGTGAAATGGCCGTAAGTCAATGAAGTGGCTCTCTGAGGAGCTACACTGTGCTTAGACTTTAAGATTTTATTTTCTCCATCATCATCTATCTACTCCCATTTTGTACCATAGTGGACAGATGGACAGAAGTGAGAGGATGTTGCATCACCTCTACAAAGTTTCACTGCAACCCATCTCTTATTTCACAACAAAGTTACGCAAATCTCATTTCTCCAGT